ACACTTATAAAATATATTAATCTAGGTAGATTTTACACATGTGAATTTTCTGTTAAATAAACAGTATTGAATCATTTCCGATGTACAAGGTATAGAACATGAACTTTGATTGTGAATTACAGATGATACTGATGATACTGAATTACTGATGCTTACTTCTCTACCTCACTCTCATAGCCAGAAAAAATTTTTTTTAGTAGTTTAACTCATTCATGTATTCATAAATACACCTGAATAATTTTTTTAAAACGATTTAACTTGAATTGAAAATATATTAGAAGTAAACATTAATAGGTTAAATAATTTTATAATACCTAATAGATTCACAATATTATAATCAAAATCGTCAATAATTGTCTTATGATTTTAAGTTGAAAAAAATTAAATTACTCTGTAGGTACCTATTTAAATATCTTTTTTCTGGACTTAGTTGTAGCAAATTTATGTATTATAGTTCTTCCCACTTCATATCTTTAACCAAATCAGATTCAATAAATAATATCAACAAATTAGACATTTTTTTATGAATTAATGATGATCGTAAATAATTTTCTACATGTTTCAAGACAGAAAACGATCTTTTACTACTTGCATTTGAAGAAAGTAAAGTACAAATAATTCTGAACTATATTTCTATATTTGGAAATGATGTTTCTAAAGATGATATAATAATTTATTGATGTAGGTAATGAAGCAAATGATAATATTCCTTCTATTGAAAAATCTTTTACAATGCTTTAAAAAAGTATTAACTCTTCTTTAAAATCTATATCTTAATCTAAATTATATAAACCAACAAGATTTTACCTTTTATTCGAATATTTTCCAAGGTCTCATTTTTTAAGTTTAATATAAATCCAAATCTATTATTGATTTCAATATACATTTCCATTCTTATATTTAATGGAAAATCAGTAGTGCCAATAATCACTAAAAAAAATTCAGTTTTCATTTTTTCAATCCCAGTGAAATTAATTTTACCTAGGCTCAAATCATTATTATGTAATGTTGATTTTCTTTTGGTTCTGAATTTTAGAGCACAAATAAAAGGAAAAATAAGCAATTTTTTTAGAAAATTGCCCACTGTCGTTTTTTGTCGGTTTTTTTTTTTTTTTAATCAAACATTACCATTTTTCAGTTAGCAGGGTATATAAAAAGTCGTTAGTATTAGACTAAAACGTTTAATGCAGTGTCGCTCTACCTTTTTATGTAATCATTCATATATGGTTTTAGAAATTTTTAAAACAAAAAGCCCCCAAAAACCGTTTTTTTTTAAGAAAACCACATTTTATAGGATATTTAAGTGAAGGAATAAGTTTTGAATTTCGAAACTTCATATACACCATTACATGTAAATGTGTAATTCGTGTATTTACGAGTATCGTTCAATGTTCAATACTTATAATAGGAATTAGACAATTTAAAATATTATAAGAAGAGTTTTGATGAAAAATACATACCTAGTTAATATTGAAATGATTTAGTTATTTTAAAAAATTTTCTTAAATATTGAACTAAAAAAAATATTTATAAAAAACATTTATTACATTTTATTTTTCAAATAGGTAGTTTAAATCTTTTGCTGCCTGGAGTAAATGCTGCTTAATGTACCTGGGTTAACGCGGCCCTGATGCGATATATAAAAATAATTTCGTAGACAGCCAACAAAAAAAATATTTTCAGTAAGGAACTGAACCAAAAAAATTGTTAAAAATCTTACCAGATTGAACTAATGATATTGTAAATCAACTAATGTTTTGCGTTTTGACTTTTGAGATGATCATTTAAGTTCGATCTTCCACCATGACTGGCATGACTTACTAAAAATCTTCAAAGGCAAGTTATACACTTGAAATTATCAGTAGGTTTAAATTTTTTAATAAATAAAAAATAATTTTGTCATTTTTCATTAAAATAACAGAATAATTTTAGTGGCATGGTCACCAGTGTTGTACTCACACGGGGAGGGGGGGATCATTAGGTTTGAACCCCTCCCCCTCCCCCCATTTACCATATTTTTTTTCTATTTCATATGAGTATCACATTATAATATTTATAAATCAATATAATAATTGGTTTTATTGTGAATTTGATAATGTGATGATTTTGTGTGTGCTTAAACACTTGATAGCTTAATTAAAATCCATTTATAGTTTGTACTGTTTTTAGAGTGGTAGTATTGAAAAAGCTATATTATAATTAATATAATTATTATTTATGTTCGTTACATTATACTCCGATTTCATATTATGTGGAAGGTTTTCCTATGTAGAAATCGTAATCGGTCATGTTATAAAAATTATCTAAATTAATAAATATATATAATATATATTATACAAAATGTTCAATAATATTCGTCGGGTTGACGGACGATTATTATCGATCAGCTGTCATCCGTCATCAGTAAAATAAGGTATATCTTAATTTTATATTTCTGTAATTTTATTAAAATAATACTAATAAATAAATAATACTCGTACAATGGGAGATAAAAGAAAAAGTACATTGTTATCGTACTTCAGTAAAAAAGTTTGTGTGAAAACTTTTATATTCTAGTAAATTTTCAAAGCCCCTCCCCCCCATAGAAAATTCTTGAGAACGCCATTGATAGTCACTATGTAAAAAAAATGAACTAAATAAAATCATGACAGTATAAATACGTACAAAACCGTTGGTAGATTTCACATTCGCGTACAGCTGTCAACCAGTAATGTCGACATATAAAATTTAAATGCATAGTGCATACCGATTACTGAGAGACTCTGACCACTATAAAAAAAAAATAAATAAACTATACATTGTATATTAAATATGTTATCTTTCGTAATCGCAATTCTCAAAATTCAAAAATCAAAACGTGGATTTTCCGACTGTAAAAATATGTCATCAGAAGTTAAAGGCAGTAGGTTGGCTATATTTAGAAAGCAATTATTACGGTAAGGGGTCATGTCTCATGTGTTCGAAAATGGTATGTTCGAACACTTCGAACATTAAGTATACAAAAAATTATATCTTCGAAAGGTCATATGTATGAATTTATCGATAAACGAAACTAAATAAAAATAACGGTAATCACCTTTTCATAATATTGGATTTTACCTTATTGCCTATTGAATTTCTTATCTTTCTTTATTGATTTCACGTAGTGAAAGCATTATAGATATTATTAAAGCTTTTTATGTTTTGATACACCATTGACCATTCCATAAGTATCGAACACATTTTTTTTAACGTTCTTTTTAAATAATATTTTATGTACAAAAAAAAGAAAAAAAAGAAAATCATACAACGAAGAACTACGGGAGCAAAGAATTAGAAATTTAGTTCTCCAACTAAAGATTCAGACTTCAATATTATTGAATTTCTACGAGGAATTTTATACAATTTAAGTTTTTAATTTTACGACTTTTTGATATTCTTATTATTTTATATTTAAGTACTTTTCCGTTAACCCTACTACCGCGACTCTCAATTCTGTTATCTCTACTACCTCGCCGATAACGCAACTACTCAATTCTGTTATCTTGACTACTATAGAACTATCCAGATATTCCGTATTTTAATACATAATACACATGATGAATTGTCATTTATATTTCAATGTATATTAGTTTAACGTTTATTATCATTTATCAGTAATCACATAAATGATCACAGTTACAATCGCAAAATTCTAAAAGTTATTATAATATAAAACAAAGTCATCAAAATGATCAAAAAAACGTCAAAATACAATATTAGATAAATAAAAATAAATTATCACAGTTACAGTTGCAAAAGTCTAAAAGTTATTATAATATAAAACAAAGTCATCAAAATTATTGGTAAATTCCACAGATTCATAATTATTTTAAAATTAATAAATACAACGACGGATTATTTCAAAATAATACAACTGTCGGCAACAACGGTAACAAGTAATTGAGCAAACTGTAGTCCGGTAGTCGTGGCATCGGTGAGGTAGTAGGGATAACAGAAAAGTACCTATATTTATTTTTGTTTATTGATAATTTCGTACATATGACCTTTCAAATATAATATAATCTTTCTTACATTTGACGTTACTATGCACAAGTCCAAACCCAATATAAATCGGTGACCCGAGAAACATTGTCCCGGACGCTGGGACATGGATTTCTAAACCAGCAACATCCCGGGAAATTTGGGACAAATGCAGGGCGGCGAAGGTGGCACCCCCCCTACAAATAAAATAAAAAATAAGATATTGTAACATAAATACACATTATTGAAACCAAGCAAAAATATTACACTTAGAAATTTAATGCAACTTCGAACAATTTATTATAATTCATAATAAAACTTTTATAAATATATATAAATATAGGGGTTCTGAAGTCATAAATCAATAATCGCTAATGGATATTTAGGTATATTACTTTTTAATATATGCTCCACCCCCCTTGTAAAATTTCTGGATCCACCCCTGGACGAATTGCAACTCTACTTGTGAAAACTATATTTTATTATAGAATCCAAAATTCCACATATTTAGATGTATGATACACAAACCTTCAAATTCTACCTAGCAATAAAATTTAAAGGTATTGTATAAATAAACATAATTTTAAAATAAACATTAAAGTGGCTTTACAACTAACGAAATTCTTTAAATAAAAACATAAAAATTGGCAAATTATTTTGTAGCTGAAAAAAATTTATAAAACATTTAATTCAAATAACCTAAGTTTAAAAGTTGAATATAATGTTACAAGTTGTTCTTGCAACAATATTTTGATAATATCAAAAACATATATTTTACATATTGCAATTTAAATTATTTTATTGTATTTCAAAAATTATTATTTGTAGGTTCTTATAACTTTTAACCATTTAATACAAAGTTTCATAATTATTTATAAAAATAATGCAATTTATCATATAAAAATATAAGCATAGGCAGTAGTTGAACGATATATTACTTTCAAACAATTTAAAATAATTATTTTTAAAACATTTATTGTATTAAAAAAAAAAAAAAATGATTTACTCATGTATATATATTATATAACATTTAGTATTGAATAAATGATTTAATTGGAATGTCAAATTTTTTGCGAGCTTCTAAATCACATAGTTCCATAATAACTACTGCTTGAACTACTTCTGCCCCAGTTTTCCTTAAAAGTTGAATAGCAGCATCAAGAGTACCTTAAAAATATAGAAGTAAATTTAGCAAAATGTATAAACCACATTATAATTTAAAATAATTTGAACTTTTTTAAATAATCTATCACAGATAAAATAAAAAGTAAATAACAAGCAGAGCTTGGAAATTCTAACAAATGTAACATATACAGTTGAATCTCGGTAATCCGGCTATTTGATAATCTGATACATCCAGTAATCTAGCTGTATTAATCTATACGTACCAATATGTATTTATATATAAATTTATATTTATTTATATTTTCTAAAACCTGTCCCATCAAAATATTAATTACACAGCATGTATGTATTATTTATATATTATAATAAATTATAAAATAATTATTCATTTTTTAATATGAGTAAAAATGTGTTTTTATGTGAACCCCCCCCCCCCTCCAAACTGTTAATCCAGCAGTAGCATAATCTGATATGTATTGAATTACTGAGATTCTATTGTATTATTAGAAAATATTATATGTCATAGAACATCAAAAGTGAACTACAAATTTGTTTCAGTTTTCTGATGTATAAGAAATATAATTAAATATAATTAATTAGGGATTAAATAGTTGACAATTAATTTTGCAAATTTTGATATTTATCAATTTTTAATTCTATTTTTAATGTCTTTAAATGAATATTAAACCATTAAAAATACACTTTTTAGTGCTATAACTGATAATAAGCTATTTAATTTAATTACATACCTCCAGTTGCTAATAAATCATCAATGACCAGAACCCTTTTTCCTTCTTTTAAAACATCTACTTGAACTTCCAATACATCCTATAAACAAACTTAATTTTTAACTATGTATTTACTTGAATACAAAAATAATAATTTATAAATAAATTTACTTAGTAACTAAATTAAATTGACAAATAATGGAATAAATCTCAGTAAACTTTTTTAATATTTCAAAACAATTTTTAGTTTAATAAGAAGTTAAGAAGTTGTATCTGATTAATAAAATCATATTATATGAATTTATAAACAAAAATTTTAACTACATATTTAGAGATAAACAAATAATTCATACAATACAATATGTTATGAGAACACATCTATATTTAATTAAAAAATAATCATAGTATGCAATATTTGGTAAAATATTTGTGATACGGTTTTCTCAAAGGAAATATTTCAATTACAATGTAGATTAGAACATAGAGATAGATTTAAATTAAACAAATATTATTTTTTAGTATAAAATAAATAATTTAATATTTTAATTTACAAGATTTATATTTTAAAAAGAACATATATACTTACTATATTTTTAAACTTTCAAATTAAGATAATAACTAAAAAATGATGCTTGCTTATTTTGTTACAAAAGTTTATAAAAATTATAATTCAAGCTATTTATAAGATAATTATTCTAAAATTTTTCTTTATAATTATCAATACCAATTAAGAATATTATATTTCTTCTATTTAAAAACAAATATGTATAATAATTTTCATAGAAGATAAAATATAATTGAATAAATTCAACCTACTATTTTCATAGTTCACACACAATCAAAATACAATTTATAATTACTTTAGCATATTCCAAACTATACTCTAGTTGAGCAACTTTTCCAGGTAACTTTCCCTTTTTTCTAACTGGAACACAGGGAACATTCAAATACAATGCCATTAATGTTCCCAACAAAAATCCTCGAGCTTCCAACATTGCAACACAATCAACTTTACCAGCAATTTCAATTGCATATTTTTTCAAAATATTATTCAACAATTTTAATCCATCAATATTTTGGAAGGCATTGAATATATCTCTGTAAACATAAAATTACATTATCATGATTAAAAATTAGCTCACTATTAAAACTATAAATGATTTATTGAAAGATAATACATAATAGAAAAGAAAAGAAAATTTAAATGATACATTTACAAAAGTTGGCCTTTTAACCAATAATAAAAAAATTATACTTTTTTACGTTTTATAATATTAAAATGTGTATTGATTAATAATGTATTTTCACAGATCTTTTTTCAAAACAACAATAAAAATTTGTTTTAAGTAACAAATAATGTACTCTATACTTATGTATTATTTGACCTAAATCTTATAATTGTTGGTATTTATTAAGTATTTTAATTTTAAATTAACATATTAATAATTATTTTTTCTAATTCAAGGTTAGTAGATAACAAAATTACACACTTGAAAAGATAATAAAATACATTGAAAAAAATGTCATCATTCCTCAATCAAAAAAATTAAATACTCACCTAAACAATATTCCAGGCAAAGGGAAGTCTGGATATGATTTGATGTAACCTTTTAATGCGAGTGCATCATCTTCAATGCTGGTATTAGACATGTTAATTAACTCCAGAGAAAATCCCTCAAAACACGAATAATGCAATACTATAAAAACCTAAAACGGAATCAGTCAAAATAATATTAACCATCGAAAATATTAACACCAAAAGAAAATTACCTGTAGCTGACAGTATCCACTCAAAGTCGCTCACTAAATGAACGTTTATTTTCACAATCAATTTGCTACCGCATAAGTGGACGTTATCTTAATGGATTTAAATAACGACAACACGTCATGACGCCGATGAATTGCATATCAATCGCTGTAAAATGGGTCTTGCTGTCTTGGCCTTTCAGAAACATTTAAACACAAATAAATTTAATTAATACAACTCGTTGATAACTGATAAGAATTCAATCATGGTTAGCGCATGAAAACTACCAGTCGGCAGTCGTCTACTAAGTCAGTAGTACCACAGAACTGACCGGTTACCAGTATCTCCTTCCTAGCATGCTGTATCACGACTCGCGAGTCATAACACTCATAACTGTTATTCATAGATTCTCAAACAATGCCACACCCACACGATTTACACGGTTTTTTTAAATTTTTTCGAGGGATACCAGTAACGCTTAATTTATTTTATGTAAACACATAGGCGCACATAGGGGGGAGGGGTGCTTAGGAGTGCTTAGCACCCCCAGTTTCCTGTAAAATTTATTTCAGTATTTTATCAATCATTTGAAAATTATTGTGATTCATTGGGTTGACATTTTTTTTCCATTGCAAATAGACAATATGTAGCTTATGAATTCACGATTAATAATGTATTGATTGTATTGTATGAATGCACATTGCACTGTTCCAGTTTTCGTCTAAACGTTGAACATTAACAGCAATCATATAATAACAATTTGCATTATCTAACAGAAAATTAAATCTTGTTTAAAATTAATTAGTGATTAGATATTATTATTATATATATATATAATATAAATACATTTTAATATTAATTATAATAATTAAAAATTATTAGAATGCAGTTTACTATTATATTAGGGTGGTGTGGGGGGGCAGCCCCCCCATGGATCTGTTTACTGTAAATTATTCCAGCACCCCCTAAATTCACACCCAATGTGCGCCTATGTGTAAACATACATTTAAAACTGATCATTCATTGCAATTAGAATAATATAAGTAATAGTCACTAACAATTTTAATTCCTGAACGGAGCTATGAGTGTAGGTACTGATTTTAAAATGATATTATTCATTTTTACGTGTACCTATGTTTAACTTTAAATACCTAATTTATTATCTGGTAAGAAAGTGAATCTAATTGGTAGTTAAGTGAGGTCAAAGTTAAAAGCTTCCCATACCCATCTACTTTTCGTTTGCTTTAATATTTGGTATAAACAAAAAAAATTTAAGGAAAACTGAAATTTTTTCTAAAAACAAGTTTTTAACTAAATCAACTTTTTTTTATGTTACCTATTTATCAATTCCAAATAACCGTAGATCCTCGATATTTTTATTTATTATCATTTTCCATACATGGTAATTTTGAAAATAGGTTGACTTTTTTTAAGCTAATTATTGACATGTGAATTTTTCGACTTTTTTTTTTAGTTTTATTCTAATTTTTTAAATAGAAAATGTTCACTCTGTTAAAAAGCTTGAATATGTAATAAAAGTTTTATCATAAGATTTTATTATTTAAAAATACTAAAGATATATAAATTTTTCTTAAGCATTCAAAGTTCAATTTTTACAAAATCACGAAAAATTGAAATGTTTTTTTATAATAAAAATGTAAAAAAATGTTTAATTTATTTAACTAAATCTTATAAATTTAACTCATGATTCTTCATAAGAACCTAATTTATTATTTTTATGTTTTTTGGAGTAGGTACATTGATACATTAAAAATGTATTTAAAATTAGTAGTTATTTATTTTTTCATTATTTACAAATATTTAAATAATTAACTAAGCTAAAAAAAAAATGAATATGGTTTTCAAACATGAACATAACATGTTACTGGTACAATATTTTACCAAACATTCAATATATTTTCACATGACAAAACTATCGCCATAGCTGTCCAAACCCATGAATAATATAATAATATAACATATTATCCGTGGTCCAAACCTCCAAGATTTCATCATGTTTAAAATTTAAATGTCAAATACATAAAAATATTATTAAATAAATTATAATATGTCATAAAAAAACGTTTTTTTATAATTTAATATTACCTGATTTTATTGATATGTGTCTTAGTAAATAATATACTCTTGTTTAGAATTCTTCTCAGTTTTAGGTTTACAATAGAATAAATTAAATAATTTAAATAATTCTACAAAAACTTATCAGCTGGATTCTTTTTACAAAATTGCTCATGCAGAGATGCAGACCATACAGTATGTTTTTTTTTTATATTTAATAAAATCAACATCACTTAAATAATTATTTATTAACAACTTTTAGTTTAGGTACTAATAAGTAAATTAGAGACTCATAATCAATAATATAACCAAATATCTGTAAATAGTGTAAATATATTTCAATTCTAAATTCTGATTTAAATCATTTTTTCTTTCAAGTATAATAAATAAATAATTAAATTCATGAATTCTTACAATTAACTATTAATATATAAGAGCACTTAATACATTTCAACAATAAAAAATGTATATCAATTGTATAACTTAACAATTTATTGAACCTTGAAAATAGTATAAATAAGTAAGTGTTTTAAATTATAATCCATTAATACATGAAAAAATATTTTAATTTAATCAATATTTTGAAAAAAATAAATTATACAATTATTATACATCATCATGAAATATTAACATCACAGATACATTTTTTTTTTTTATCATTAATAATTTATTAATAGTTGTTTTAAATAGTAAAATATTTTTAAAATACAAAAAAAAATTATATATTTGTTGCCAGCAATCATTTAATCAGATATCAATGCTATCATTGGAAAATTTAATCTTTTACGTCCTTCTAATTCACACTTTTCCATTAATACTAATCCTTGTACAACTTCTCCGCCTGCTTTTTCAATTAATTTTGAAGCCGCTTCTAATGTACCTATTTAAAAATAAAAATGTTTTTAATTTAGCTAGATACTAACACAGTAATTTCTTTTTAAAATAAATAACATGTGTAATGTGCTGTATAGATTTATTTTTATGAGTAAGAAGCTGTTATTACTTAAAAGTATAATATAAGTTTAATGAAGAAACTCTAATGGAAAAAAATAAACTATATGGTTCTAAAATAATTCAGTTGAATATAAATAAAATAACCTTAAAAATTTGAATTTTACGTTATACCCTAAATATCTTATAGGTTATTATGAATAAGCAAACCTGAACAATCAGTTGGCCATCAAAGGAGTTATGACCTACAAGTTGAAATTGCTGGCATAAGCTACAATAAAGCCAATCATTTAGTCATTAAATTATAATTTATTCTTAAACCATTTGAGTATAGCAGAAATAAATAATCGGTAATGCCTGTCATGCATTTCAGGTAATTCAATTGAACTACCTTAAAAATTAGATGAATAGGTGGATTAACAATTACATACTTATCTATATCTGTAATTAAAAAAATAACGTTCAAACAGGTGGGTAGGTCTATCAATTTGAATTGCCAATTCGAATATAATTTTATAACAATGTAAACAATAGTATATTGCAAATACTGAGTCAACATCGCTATACTATTCAACATAAAAATATTAGCAATTTTTTTCATAGTTACTTCAATTTGCTAAAAATTTAAAACTATTAACTGATATTTCTGTGAAAAACCTGTTCAAGATTACATTTTGTATTTTAAATTATGAAGAAAAAAAAATACTTAATATTGTCTATAATACTAATTAGGTACTATCAATATTTCAATTTGAATGTATTAAATCCACAAATTAAGATGGTGCTATTGTAATTTGTAGTTATAGGTTCCTTAACTTGTTATAGTTCAAACAAATAAATATAAAGTAATAAGTTTTATACCTCCAGTTGCAAGGAAGTCATCCACTAAGAATATCTTCTGTCCTTTTTTAATGCTATTTAACTGTACAGTCAAAATATCCTGAATATAAATACATGACATTTTTTAAATATATTTTAAACAAATTAAATTGTTACAAAAATATTTTAATAATTAATTACTTCTCCATATTCCAAGATATATGGCCACTCAATGACGGGGCCTGGTAAATTTCCTTTTTTACTGACAGGTATGCATGGTACGTTAAGATGTAAAGAAAGTATTGGACCAAACATAAAACCACGAGTTTCCAACATTGCTATGCAGTCAACTTTACCACGCAATTGAATGCTAATTTGTTTCAATATTATCTCCAGCAATTTTATTCCATCACTGTGGTTAAACAATGATAATATATCCCTGCAAAATAAAAATATATTCTCTGTGAATCGTAATATTTAAAAATTTTAAATTATGCTTAATATTAAGATAGTTGTTGCTTTATTGTGATTTTATCATTTTTACAATTTTTTGTAAGTCCATAAATATTTAACAGTAATACTCAAAGAATTAGCTGTTAAGTATAATTTACATATTGTTTCAACTTTTAAATTTATAAAGAAACAACAAAACATCTTTAATTTTTTTTACTACTTATCTTAAAATTATGAATAAGATTATAAAAAATAAAATAAAATGATAGGTACACGAAAGGAAAAACCTCATAAAATTATTTATTTATTGGTTTTTAATTGTATAGTAAATTATAAAGACTATTGATTTTTATATTTATGAATAAAAATTTTTTTTAATTGTTGTAAAGGTAAACTTTAAGTAAATAATAAAATATAAAACTCATCCTTTAAATTCTGAGTAGAGTTAGGAAACCAGATAAAATTTACAAAATTTGTAATATCATTTTCAAATAAGATCATCACCAACAACATAAATTTTACTAATAAAGATAATTTAACAAATGCATACATATCTGATAATTTTTTAAAAAGCTTACATATAATTAAAATATATAGATAAAAATAAAATGTATTTACTTGTATAAGATTCCTGGTTTAGGGAAGTCTGAAAAATATTCAATGTATTGTTCTAAATTTTTTATATTATCTTCCAATGAATTAGTAGATGACATGATTTGTATTCGTAGATATGAATATTCAAAATTATTTTATTTTAAGTTTGTAACTAAAATAATATTTAATACTTGATTTGTATATAAATTGATTTAGGTAATATATATATAACTCCCTAGAACACTGCACAATGAGAATACTATCTGAGAAGTATTTATTGATATTTTAATTTGATAGCAATTGATGAAATTTCAATTTGAAATACAGTAATACAAAAACAAATCAAACTCAATAATAATGTAGTATTAAACTATTCTGATCAAAGATTACAAATAACAATGTCAGTAAGAATATAACTACGCAATTAACGGTATACGTGATTAATATTTTGGAATTTTATCTATAAATTGAATTGTAATTTGTAGCATTTAAAAGTCAAAATAATCATATTATCTAATAAGTTATGATATTAAATAGAACAATGTAATTTTCCGACATATTAAAATATCAATAATAATACATGACTCAACTATGTGAACCCATTGACTAATTAAATTGACGATTTAGTCTTTTAGGACTGATGAATTATTAAATAAGAACTAAAATATAAACCTGTTAATTTTATTTAGTTTGAAGTTTGTTGTGTCAAATCGGCGGGCAGCGTTTGTAAATACTAGCTAGTAGATAAGATACTTTAGAGTGTAGATAAACGTTATCTACAACTACAACCACACTCCATAGCCAAAAGGCAAAAATATGTTTGGCCCTTTCATAAAATACTACAATATAATGGCTCTGTGCAGTGAACTGCAAACATTCTTGAACCTTTATCACATTATAAGTTTAATTTCTTGTAGAATAGAATAGCTATATAAGCACAGAATAAATTTAAACATTTATTCTCTGATACAGGTAAGTAAAAATAAATAATTTATAGAAAAAAAAATCGCACTCAATAACTGTATTACTGAATATTACAATTAACAGTAATTGATTGGTGATTACGCGATATGCCGTGGTCTTATAACACGCTATCAATCTAAAATAAAAACTGTTTTTAAACATAAAAATGAGGGAAAGAAGGTAACCGCTCAGCTACATTATAGTCTATAGCAGTGGTTTTCAACCTTTTTAACAATGTAGCACACTTCTTCTTCTACAAAATTTTTGCGACACACCAATTCATATAATACGTGAAGCATATATTTTTATATATAATACATATATATATACAAAATTAACTTCATCAATAGATTTATCGCGGCACACTGGTGTGCCGCGACACACCGGTTGAAAACCACTGGTCTATAAACTATAGTCTATAGGTCATAGTGTCAACTGTCAAGTGTACTTCATTGAGTAAATTGCTGTAATGTAATAGCATGTAATGTGTAAATGTACTATAAATTATTGCATACAAAAACTGATTCTTTGAGAAAACGGTTATCACTCGTCAGTCAATGGTAAGTAATAAGTATATTTTAATTCAGAATTGGTTGGATTAATTTATGATAAAAACATCATTTCATTTTAAAATGTCATCGTGTCAATATAATATAATTATATTTATTAAAAGTTTCTAGTACCTATTAATAATATTTTTAAAATTGTATTTCTGATGATTTAATTGATATATGAACAAATAATGAAGAACTTAGTATTTAATTTTCTATAATATTCAAGGTTATTGGCCGACCAAAAGATCATCAATATTTATAGAAAAAAAACTGAAACAATTTCAAAAATGAATAAATAGCTTAAAGAGAATTCAAATATTTAGAAAATTTTGTCTTAATATAAAATACTAATATAAATATTTTATGAAAATATCAAGTATCTATTTTTCCTTTTAATTTTTCCAGTTATTTTGAAAAGTAGGTACTAGGCATTTTTCACCCCTAGGTACCAAATATACGTAATTAAACTTTCTATCAAAACCATCCTCAATGTTAAAAATCGAAGTATATTTTTACTATCCCAAAACATAATGATTGACAGAAAAAAAAATTTACATAGGTACCTATAGATCATTGTAAGATCAATAGTCAATACATTCATACGGAGCTTAAAATTTAAAATAACATGAGTTATTCAAATGTTCATATTATTTTAAGCTACGAATTATCACATTATTGTACATGTGATGTAACTGAAAAAAAATGTGTGGCCCGCATTTCAATTGCAAACTTAGAAGATAAAAATTGCTCAATTTATCCAAAAAAACGAATGAAGATAGATTGGTACCACAAGAATTTAATACCTGAATGAAACTATAATATGTATTTTTATACTTGTTAATACAATACACGCTAGAATACTATGAGTAATGTTATAAAACTTTGTTTTATACTAAATATATTTCTTAAATTCTAAAGAACTATCTGAATAAGTAATTAAATAGATACCTACATTAATAATACTGTAATGTCTAGAATAATAGTAATACAATAACTATACAAATGATGACCCATATATTATTATATTATTATTGTGTTACTGTTCTAAATTGAAGAAAGCTGTATGTTCTCTGTTTAAATAATATAATGCAATTTATCTTATTACTAGAGTCACTAATAAATTGTCTTATCACAAATAAATTACTTTTGTGCTACATAAAAAATATCCATCCTATAATTACTAGTTACATCAAGAGTTACCTACTTGATCTATTTAATACGTATAAATATTACATACATAATAAATATGGGCCATTATGTAACAAACACAACAATATGAAAATTGATACATGCTGCAGTAGCTCAGTATTTTCGTTGTATATTGAACAACAGTTTTTCTTTTTCTATTAGGCCAAGTACGTATTTAATAATTTAATAAATGTTTAATTAATACATCGAACAAATTGCTTTTGATTTTATTTTGGTCGTGCCAACTTCTCAAATTGCCAAATTGTAAACTAAAGCTGAGATATCAAGGTAACAAAAACAACATTAAATGCAGACAAAAAATAATTTTATTTTGAAATCGATTTTAATCCTGGTGCACTTTATTTTAGAAGAAAAAACTACTGAACTTTAATTAATAAGAATAACTTTTATGCTACCACACCATATCACTCGAGCTGCAGTTCATAATATCTACTGTATTCAATGGAAAAATACAAGGCAAGCTCATAATTGAATTTTTTAATATTTTAATTGTTTATATATATATTGTTATTCTGTATACATTTATGAATTAAATCAATTGAAATTGAATATCTTTCTAACACTACTGGAATTATCGTTCTTATGTCATATAATTTATCTGCTACAACATAGTAGTGAATAAATCATAAACATGTTTCAGTTTACAATTATTTCATTAATTATTAGCTTTGAAGTATATAGCGGTTTTGCTTATCAATGTCCTAAATCAATTCCATATTCAGAAATACCTGGATTATCGAGAATAAGTTTACCTGTTTCAAATGCGCTCTACCATTTTAGAATCGAAAACGAATTTCTAATAGATTCTCGTGGTAGGACAAGATATGTTTGCGTGGAAATTACACCAGAAACATACGCATTACGGAATAAGTCAACAAAATACGATAGTGATCTATATGTCCAAACTGGAGGAGATTATAAAGAACATATAATAGCACATTCCCTTGGGGGATCAAATGATTCTCTGAATATATTTCCACTTAACCAAAACTGTAAGTCGAGACTCCTTAATAATAATTTTGAGCAAAAACTTGAAGGATTACTTACTGAACATTCACGAATAACATATGTAGCTGAACTCGAATACGCATATAATATGACTGATATGCGGCCAACTCGCATAAACACATTATATATAGACGAAAATGAAAATATTCTAAAATCTGTAAGGACGATAAATTCACCACCTTACACATCCTGTAAGACAGTAAATCAAGAATATCCCACAAAACACAAAAGGTCTTTTATCGAAATTTTTAAACATACCGAAAATTCAACAAAAAGTGTAAATTGCTTGGACGGTTGTAGAAGGTCAGAATGTTGGTCAAAAGTTGAAGATCGTGATAAAAAATGCAGTTCGCATCATTTTCATTCAGTACATGCTAATTCACTTTGTGTTGGTCAGTGGTGTTATTGTTGCTCTTACTATTAAAAAAAAATAATATATTGCATTATTCATAATGGTATATTTTTTTCGTATGAAGTTCAATGGTCTCTAATAAGTATTGATATATTACGAATTAACCAATCAATGAAATAGATAATAACACTGATCAACTTATAATAATTACAATATCTATTTTATATATATATATATATATATAGGTACTCATCTGAGTACATAATGTAACAAATATTTATGTTATATTTTAATTATCTTTATGTATTTTTATGTATTAATATGAGTATGATACTTACGTAAGTTATAAATATTTTCTACCATTAATGTATAATTGTCTAAATATTATCATCTTATTGTATTTTATTTAAATTTCTAAACAAGATGTTATATGTTGTGATTCATGTTTCAATTGAATAATAAATATAATAATTAATGATAATCTTCTCATTTGTCGTTTTGTCGTTTTTAACTCTACAAAGTTATTACTTGCCATTTAATATTCCAATTAAATTATAGTTTTCAATTATCTAATTAAAAGAAAAAAATCAGAACGATAGTTGCTATTAGTGAGAATAAAAATGACTTAGTATTTAATATTCTTATACATTTACTTATTATATTTTATTAAACAACATTTAGAAAATATCTACCTTTTACTTTTTTTAGTTTTAAATTAAGAAAATGTACAGTTTGTACAATATACTGCAATGTGTACAATAATAAAATTTAAAGTAAGGAATAATTAGGAGGCGTGAGTTGAAAAATTCTCCAGACGACACCCCAAAGAATATCTGCATGGCCACATATAGTTAATATAGTCAAGTAAAGTTAAAAACAATATCTATATTTATACTTAAAATATTATCGAAAAGTAATTTATACAAGATTATTTTATAGGTATAATAGGTATATAGGTGAGAATAATAGACTCCATCCCCCAATCACTGATAAAATTATAGTTAAAAAATAGATACTTATTTATAATAATCAACGAGCATAAGTCCTTTAGTAAAACATTACAAAATACGAGTATCATATCATTATTGGCACTTGGAAATTAACAGACATAAAAATAATAATTAAAAATAAAAATAACAAGACAAAAAACTAAATATAAAATAACTAAGTGTTATGTTTTAAGAATAAAAAATTTATAACTTTAAAAATAAAGATAAGGCGAGCAAAAAAATCTAAGACAGCAGAGATTTTATTAGTGTTTAAAATAACTCTTAAAAATAAATTGTAAAAATTGTAAAACAATATCATATTTTATGAATAGGATTCTGTAAATTGCTTCCAGAGAAATTAATTTTGACAATAAGCTAGGCCAACGGTTCTCAACCTTTTTTTCTTCCGTACTCCTAAGTTTAATATATTGCCAGATTGTACCCCTCATTATAATTTTTAAACTTTTTCACATAACTACTTTTAAAATATTTAAATAAAAAATAACAAAAAATCTAGGTGAATTTCATCCAGATTTTATTTCATTACTAGTTAAAATGCGTCTCCAGTATTTTATGGATACTTGGCTTCTCCTGTCATTTGATTAGTAGGTAGTAGGTATGTACCTAATATTCGTATAGACGTAATCTGATCAAGATTACATCCCATACAATTATCGTAGACGATTTAGTTTTCCAGTCGTTACTCTAATTCGTTATTTTAAGTGTATCAGTAATCAGTATAATATGTATACTGGTAGTTTATAGTACAACATGATTCTTTTCCAAAATGGATTCATCAGTAAATGAGAAAAAAAAAAAAAAAATTATGATTGATAGGTTTTAGTTTAGATTCTATAAACTTTTAAATGATGATGTACAACGTTGTGTCTGTAGTTCGAAATCACGTAAATCCTATTTTAAATGAGAGTATAATTCTAATTTAATAGATTAACCTAAAAAGCATAATCACTCAAAACCAGACGATAAACTTCTAAATCGACAAAAATCTAGCAATACGCTTAAGAACATTAGAATATATAGAACTATAATTACTTATATGAAAAAATGACAATGACCCATCAATATTATTGTAACATTTGTGAAAAGGGACATAAGGTATTTTGTAAAAATAGCTAACCTTGATGCCTGATGGCTCGATATGTGATAATTAAATATTTTTAATTTATATGAATAAATTAATAATAAAGTTTCTAGTTTCTACCCCAATAATCATTACTTTTTCACAAAATTTCATGCAATAATTATAAAATTTAAATCAATACAAAAACAAATAAATTAATTTTTATTTTCTAAGAACAACGAACTAAGTGATAAAATTTTAGGCTATTGTAATTATTATCTATACTTTTTATTTAACATTATTAGCCATTATAGAATTTTTTTATTATTTAAATTTTTAATTGACATATTGATTGCAAAATGTGTTTTTTCCATTTATGATTGGCGTGTAATTATTAATAACTATTCAATCATTTATTTACCACACTTATATCAAGTGAACTCTTATGCTCTTTAGTCTTTACGATACTTACACTCTCTTTGCAATCCGTCACATATATCACACGAACTACAATCGTAACCACCTTATTCACGGAATGATGTGTTTTACCGATAAACACCTTTCTAACCTTTTGTAATTTTTTTTTTATTTCTATCTATTTTGAAAACAATATATACTTGTAAATCTCGCACTTTGGCCTGTTTTTTTAAATAAATACATTTCTTTGAATACGATATTTTACTATTTTAGCATATAAACGTAGTAGCGTGGCGTACTCAATATTTCTCAGAGCAAGTTATGATTTTAATATTTTACCGTGGTATATTTGGTCATCCACTCACCCAAAACACAAAAAAAAGCAACAACTGTTATATTTTTAACTACTTTTCGTAATTAATACAATTTAAAACTAAATTTTTATCCGTTGTCATTACCTATATTCACAGTGGCATAACTAGGAATTTTAGTTGGGAGGGGGATTTCAAAATTTTTCATAATAAATATGGATTATATAAAGTCAAATACACAAGTATATAGATAGTAATTATTAATTGATTGTAATAAATTAAAATCATAAAAGAAATTATACAATATAAAAGTAGAACTCAATGCTCTACAACTTTTTACATTTATTTAAAAAAAAATCATATAAATATTCTATGCATTTATGTAACTGCGTAAATTAATATTATATAATATTTAATATACTTATTTAAAAAACATAGAAGTAAATCCATGAATTTGAGAAATAAATACTAAATTTTTTTTGTTGGAGTTGGGGCGGCATATTTAAGAGGGCGGCCTATGGCGGCACCTGTTCTAAATCCGACACTGCACCCGCCAAACAAATATATAATATAATACTAATAAGCATAGACATACTAATAACTAAGATATGGACTACGCGTCCACTGCACTATTTTTTTTTTTTATATAGCCTAATAGATAGCCCAAAAGTGCCAGTATTGTAACGAAGAGATAGAAAAATTGACAATTGTTAATAACTGACCTATGTATAGGTACGAAGTTTTATACTATCGTTTTCTAACAATATTGGTACCCGGCTATCACACCTATTTTTTTTTCTCTCTAGCGTCTACAATCAGCCCATTTCAAATAATAGGCACGGTCGGACTGGGTAGGCGGGATACCGTGAGTTTTCCGATGGGCCGCTTGTTTGAATTAAGAAGCTTGTACTCGTAGGGATTTTTTTTTTTTTTAGGTTTATCGGTTAAGGCATAATCGACACAATTTCGCAAAAGAGCTCAAACCTTTACAGATTGCTTAATATGTATTAATGTGTATTCTGAAGTCTGAACATATGTATTTTAAATAAAAATGATAAAATTTCTTTATACTAACCAATTTTTAATATTCTTAATTTATAATAATTATTTAAGTATTCAAATTTTCAAAATAATATTCTATCATTTTATATGAAAATATGTTTTTTTTTCAATATGGTTTTTATAGATTTTCCTAAGAGGGCTGATTTTTTTGATTTTTCTGGTAGAAAATAACAAAAATGATTAATTTATTTGTGGTTAAAAATTCGTAAAAAATTTCGTTTTTATATCTAAGATTTAAAAATATAGCATGAGGTTTTTTATTAGTTTTTCAACCTATACACGAAAAAAAAAAATAATTCTACAGGAAAGTTAAATCAAATTTTATGAGCATTTCAAGCTTAAATAATTACGATATTCGATATTCATTCGTAAAATAATTGTTTCTACCAAAACAATTTTGGATATTTTATTTTATCTCAAAAAAAAAAAAAATAATAATAATAAATACTTGAAATTTTCATCAAATATTTTTTATAATCATTTTCATTGTACAATAAATTTTTTTTTTCTTTCAAAGTTATTCATATCCATGAGAAATTTTAAATTTTGTTTTAAATTTTTTCTATAAATGTCTATTAAAAATTTTTCACTGAGCCAAAATTCTTGAAAATTAATTATTACTTACTAAATCCACAAAAGTTATTTTTATATCTGTATAAAGATATTAAAAAATACATTGACGTAATTATTTTTCATATGCTAATGAAGTTAGAATTTCGATGAAATTACTTCTTTAAACAATAAATAACGATATAAATAATGAATTTAAGTTGAAAATAAATAAATAGGTTTAAGTATAACACTAATAGTTACACCCATAGACTACTATATAGTATAAGGCTTGTGATTACACCATACAGATATTTTGGTGGGATTTCGTATTTCAACGTTGGTGTAACTGATTTCACGGAAGTCGAATTGTTGTTATCACGTTCGAGTGATCTGAAAGAGGACTGACGAGTGATTAGAGAAAGGGGGGCTAAATTTAGACAAATTAGTAATTAGTTTAACAGAAAGTGAATGAGTAACGAGGGGTGAGTGTTATGGGCGTTCTAGGTATATTTTTAACTTGTGCCATCTGCACCGATTGTTTCCCGTCAGCAAGTCTCTTCTCTTCAATAATGTTGTTAAAAGTGCTTTTTTAATGATTCCATTAAAATGTTTTCGATAAAATGCAGTAATTTATTGTTAGGCCTCTGCGTCGTACAGCTTTGTTCATCAGAGATAGGTAAATAATCGTCTATAATGTGTTAAACAGTGTGCCAGTATACATGAAATTACGATTTGTATTTTTTTCCAGCATCGTTTTATGGATCTAGTTATGTCAATGTACCTTATCAAGATGCTAAAAGTACGACAGAAATTAGTTTTGCTTTTCGTACGAAACATTTGGATGCTTTCCTGTTTTTGGCTGCTGGCAAAACAGACTACTGTTTTGTCCTGTTGGAAGCTGGTAGACTAAAGGTAAAGATTAATCTCGGAGCAGGAGAGTCGGAGATATCTTCACCAAGAGGACTTAGACTTGATGATCTTAACTGGCATCTGGTTAACATATCGCGGAAAGAAGGAGATTTGAATTTGGCAGTTGATAAAATACACATTGTCAGGTAAATAGTAATTGAGACTTTATAATTTGTTTTACAATCGAGGTATACATTTTTTATATTGTTTAGAGAAAAACTGCCAATTGGATTCTATGAGCTGAATATGTATGGTGGTTTGTACATTGGCGGTCAAGGAGATTTTTCTGAATTATTCTTAGGCCATACAAATGGGTTACGTGGTTGTCTACGAGATGTTCGTTATAATGCAGTACCAGATGTTTTGAGTAGAGCACGATGGCGAACTGGTAGAGCCGATGCTCATTCAATATCTTGGGGTTGTGTAAATGAATTTGATGCACCAAAAGAATCAAGTATATCATTTCTTGAAGATGGTGCTTATATGGCTATTCCTAGTATATTAACATCAAGAACTAATGTCAAGTAAGCATGTATGAGTACTACAATAAGTACTATAGTACTTATGGAAAGTTTTTATGTTTATAAGGTGGCAATTTTCCATAAAAACAATATCTGAAATTGGATTGATTCTTTACAATTCTAAAAAAAGCTCAACATTAAGTAGACATAGTGGGAATGTGGATTTTGTTGGTGTAGAACTTGTTGGTGGTAAAATACGTGTTGCTCAAAATTGGGGTTCTGGTGTTACTGAACTCTATTCTGATGTTACTATCAATGACGGAGTTTGGCATTCTATTAATGTTGCTATGGAAGCTGGTGGACTTGATGTAACTATTGATGCACCCAAACATAGATATCGTTTGGCATTAAATAATTCAGCTCTACCATCAAAACATTTAGATCTTTCAACTATTGTAAGTAAAAATAAAAGTAATATAATTTTTTTTACTATACTTAATATATTTTATATATTACATATTTTAGTTGTATGTTGGTGGACTGGAAGTAAATATGAGAAGTGGAGCATTAGCTTCTGGCATGCTTTCAGCAGGAAATAGTTTTAAAGGATGTATTCGAGGAATTTCAAATGATGGACGTGCACTTGGTTTACCAGATGCATTAGATACCTCCAAACTCATATCCCGTTGTGTTTGGTCATACGCATGTACAGAAAAACCTTGTGTTCATTCACCTGACATTGGATGTTCTCAAGTTGGAATAAATTCCTTTAAATGTGTTGGATGTGAAAATCACAATGACCCACAATGTGTTCGTCCTGAATTTGTTCAAACACATAATGTATATATTAAATAGTCTAGTTTTTAAAATAAAAATACTTTAATTAATTAATATTTTACAGGCAATGTTAAAAGTTCCGTTACCAATTTCTATTGAAGTGTTAACTGTAAACAATTTAATCGTAGTTGAAGGTTCTACAGCAACTCTAACTACATCAGTTATTAGTTTGATACTAGATTATAACCATTATGGGGTTCGAGAAGCAGGTGTTCAATTTCATATTGTTCAACCATATGCTAAACATGGAAAGTTGAATATTGAGTCTTCTAAATCATCTACTGGGATTTCAATCTCTACATTTAACATGCTCAATATTTTAAAAAATGAGGTAATGTATTGTTAGTTTAATCTAAAAATGTATTTGTAACTTATTTGATGACCATAATATCAGGTAGACTTTATATGGTACCTATAATCTAGACTACAATGATTATTATTATTATTATAGGTCTTTTATGTTCATGATGGATCTGAAAGTACTCAAGATTTTATAACACTTGATCTTGAATTCACATCTAATGAAGGTTTATTGCTACCAGATTATTTACAAGAACGACAGAGATTTATATTACCTGTTAATATAACTCCAGAAAATGATACACCAACTATTCGTATACCATCTGATTACAATTTTATTCTTGCACAGGTAAAATATTTATTTTATTAATTGACTTACTAGTTTATGCTTACTTATGTTGTTTGTCTAATTCTGTTGAGTTTTTTTAGTTTATACTTAGTGTCTTTGTGAGTTGCATGCAGTAGCTACTGATTTTTTCACTTTGCATTTTTTTGTTGTTGAATTTGTAAGTAATTTTAATGTATCGTTAATGTTTTGTTTTTAAAGTTGTTGATTATTTCTAGGGTACATGGAAAATGCTGGATAAGGATAAAATAGTAGTAATCGACCGGGATTCTAGCCCTGAAAGACTTATTGTATCTATAATGAATATTAGTGGTGGTTATTTAGATACAACTGATAATCCAAATGTACCACTAGAAACATTTACCGTTGCTCAGATGAATAATGGATTTATTGGTTATAGACACACTTCAAATGAAACTGGTCATTTTACTTTTACTCTAAAAGTAAGTATTTACATTAATTTTATTATAAAACAAATAATTTGATTACATTTCTTTATTAGTTAGTTCATTAATTTAATTCAATATCTATTTAAATTAAATTCTTAGGTATCTGATGGTGAAAAAGAAAGTGCCATTACATTGATACCTGTTAATGTTTATAGTTTATCATTGACTCATGTTCAAAATACAGGTGCCATTTTAGCTTATAAATCATCTGTTGTAATTAGTCCTTCTAATTTAACATTTGTAACTAATGCTGATGATCCATCCCTTGAGTTGACATTCAAAGTAAGAATTTATGAATTTAAAAATCTATCAATTTGTTTATGCTTATATGATATAATATATTTAAATTTACTAGGTTGTAAAACATCCAAAATTTGGAGCACTAAAACTAATTGACGGGGAACAAGCACAAGATAAAATTACTGTATTTACTAATCATCAATTAGAAAAGAAACTTGTCAGTTATGTACATAATAGTGAAGGTTCTCCAACAAAAGATTTTTTTAAAGTAAATATTAATATGCCAATATTATTACTTAATACTTATTAATGATAATTATATTGAATGCTTGATGTTTTATTTTTAGTTTGAAATATGGTCTGGTCAAGTAAAATTAGGTGAAACATATAAGTTTGAATTTAATTTTGTTGAAGTACATTTGACTGTGGATGTCTTTGGTCCTTTAAAATGGCAGGGGTCTAGTGAGACTGCAGTAAAAAGTGATTCTATTAAAGTACAAACCCATCCAATACTTTTACACCCAAGCTCCATCATTTTTGAATTAACTAAAACTTCACACACCGCTTCATTATACTTAAGGTTTGTTTATATTCATTGTTAAAACTTGTTTTTTTACTAAAAAGTATTTTTAGGAATAAACCCTTGGTAGACGGTGAAACATGGACTCAAAATGATGTAGACTCTGGTCTTCTGACATTAAAACTTCACCATGACACATACTCTGCTGCCACAGATTTATTTGATGTAAAAATAAGTGCACCTCGCTGTCAACCAATAGTGTCTAAGTTGTTGAATTTTGAATATTCACCAAGTCCATTATTGGTTCAAGCAGTTTCTGCTTTTATTCATCCTTTAGAAGTAATTATTTTTACATTTTTAAGCAAAATAGTTATTAAGTATTGATATTTAAAATTATTTTTTATTTTTTAAAAAGATTTAAAATGTATGTCATTAATGTATTTTTAATTAGCAGAATACAAATAAACTTTTTCTTGAACCATTTTTCATTTAAAAATGTAAAAATATGTAAACATGAGTTATTTATTAAAAATAAAAATTACAGTTAAATCTCTAAATAGCAGATACTCTAGCTGAAATTTTATCCATTATTTAGGGAGTTAAATTATTTTACTATAAGTTTGAAAATCAGTTAAATACTTAATTATCAATGATTATTGATTATTAATTTCAAATTTCTGTTTTTTGGTACTCTTTTTTATTTTCAGCCCAAGTTTTATAAAAAGTATTTTTATTTCTTGACTTAAAATATTTTTAACTTTACATAACATTTTAAAAATTGAACATTCAAGATGAGATAATTTTATAATAATTAATTTTATTTAACAGTGTAAACTTTTATTTATGTAATCCATAAATGTTTTAAATTTATCAGAAAATTGATCAAAATCAATAGTTAAAGTTCCATAAGTATGGTATGTTATAATGAATGACATATTGTGAATCTTGTTCTGTTCATATGAACAGTAAATTGAAATGACCAATGTTTGTAAAAAGAATATACTGTCTTTAAAACCCATGTCTTGAAAAATAAATTATAAATCTATCTACTATTTTTATCATTATATTGCAATAATTCTAATTTATTTTAGGTTGTAGAAGGCAGTTCATCTCCATTGACTGATAAACACATCTCAATTAAATGTGTTGGTGTAAATCAATTACGTTATGAAATTTTATCTGGTCCAGAACATGGTTATTTACATTTATTGATTAATAATAGTACAGTTAAAAATGTAACTGTGTTCACTGAAGATGATTTGTATGATAGTACATTGTCTTATTCACACGATGGATCTGAAAATAATTGTGATTATTTCAAATTTTTAGCTACTTCAAAAAATGCTAATTTTCAAGTTTTTTTTTTTTTTTTTTTTTTTTTTTTTTTTTTTTTAATTGATATACCTTAATGTTATGTTAATAATATAAATATATATATATGTGTGTGTGTGTGTTTAGTATGTTGGTCAAGTTAATATATCTGTGCAACTAATCAATGATAACCCTCCAAGTTGCATGACAGAAGAAAATATACGTGTAGTCACAGGTAGTGATAGAACTATAACTAATCATAATTTACAATGTCATGACAAAGATATTGATACACCAGTTGCATCGTTGATTTTTACTATAAATTCAATTTCAAATGGAATTATATTAAATACTGCTAATGATCCATTTACAACAGTTATGAAATTCACTCAAGTATGTATTCTTTCCCTAATAAACTTTTTAATAATGTCGTACTAAACATTTTATATACTGTTTTCAGGAAGAAGTTAATAATGGAAAATTGATTTATCGTGATGAGTTTTCAGCTGATACTAAACAAAATAGAAATAGTGTTGTGGAGCTTGGAGTATTTGATGGAAAACATTCTATTGATCTTAAACTTCAAGTTGAATCTTCTCCTCCATTTATAAAAGTATTAAATAATTCTCAGTTAATGTTAAGACAAGGAGGAGCTGCTACTATAACAACTAATCATATTTATGCTGATACTAATTTAAACATACACTCTGATAAAATTAAGTAAGTGTATAATATATATGTATAAACGTGGACACTTGCTCTTTCTTCCTACCCCCTTCTTTTATCAAAAATTAATATAAACTTGTAATTTAATAAATATTTGTGAAATTGTCGGAAATTGTATTAACTTATTATTATTTTATTTTAGCTATCAAGTAATAAATGGCCCTGATCAAGGAGAAATAGAGCTTGGTACAAACCTTGAGCCTTTAAAAACTACTATATTTAGTCAAGCTGAACTTGAAGCTGGGCATGTACGCTACCGTCATAATGGTGATGTGGAAAGTGTTCGAGATAGAGTAACCATCCGTGTAACTGCTGGTAGTACTGTGTCTAGAGAATTAGAATTTGATATAAGGCTTTTACCACAACACTATTGGGAACCACTTGAAGTTACTAAGAATTCTCCAATAATAGTTGATGAGTCTACCACTATTGCAGTTACCAGACAATATCTTGAAGTAAAAAAAAAAAAAAATATATAACGTTATTAATAAAACTTAATTTTGAATTTTTTTGGATTTTTAATTAATATTAACTTTAGGTAAAACAAGATATGGTGCCACCTTCAGATATTATGTACTTGGTAAAAGAACCCCCACATTATGGTTATTTAGAAAAAGAATCCAATGAAGAAGACCCTGGAAATCCAGAAAGCAACCATTTAACTACATTCAATCAAAGTCTTATAAATAGTGGTCACCTTTACTATGTTCAATCAACCATGAATCAAAGTACTGATCGATTGGTCGTTGATATTACAAATGGAGTAGTTTCATTATATGGTCTTGTTGTAAGTAATATTGCCTTTAACGGTTTCTTAATTTTACAAATAAAAATTATTTTTTAACAGATAAGTTTTGTGATTGTGCCAAAAAATGTATATTTAACAAGCTCTCAGCTTAATGTTATTGAGGGAGGAAATGTGACTTTAAGCGCCGACACATTTCCAGTTATGAGTTCTTATTACACAGATAGAGTATCTCGATATTCATTGGTTAGTGCTCCAAACCATGGGCGTATTGTACGAACTACTGCTGACAGTTTTGATCCAACTATAGACTATTGGAGTCCCAAACAACTAGCGAGATCACAAATAATGGTAAATTAAAATTTTACTCTTCCAAAATATATATTGACTAGTTAATTTTTTTTTTCAGTATGTTCATGATGGATCTGAGAGTACTGACGATAGTTTTTCAGTTAAAGTAGGAGTATCTGATGAGAAAGAAAGTGCTCCAGTTGATATAGAAGTTAAAATAAATCCAGTAAACAATCAAAGACCATTGATTACAAGAAACACTGGTATTAAAGTTTGGAAAGGTGGAATTGGGCTCATAACTTCAGATAACTTGAGTAAGTCAACCTAAATATCAATTATATTCATTTTTTACTAAAAAATTGTGATATTCTAGCTGTTGAAGATAAAGACACGGATGTTTCTAACTTGACTTTTATAGTATCATCATCTAGATGTGGTCATGTAATTATAGAATTGCAACGAACTGAAAAATTTACTCAAGCACAAATTGATCAGAGTATTGTTTATTTTCAACACTCAGGAGAATTTTGTGATGGTGAATTGGAACTATCAGCTACTGATGGTCTACATTCTACGGAGGTTGTACTATTTCATATAATAGCAGAACAAGCCTCCGTGAAAATTTTAGTCAATAACCCTCTGCGGGTATTTCCAATGCTTGGACGTCAATTGACTATTGACCATTTAATGGCTCAATGTGATGATCCAAGTTATCAGGTTACTTACATTGTAAGAAATGCACCAAGATATGGCATTGTGTCTAAAAGTGCTTCATATGAAGATTCAAATCAAATGGCAATTACAAATTTTACACAAAAAAACATAAATGAATCAGCTGTGTGGTATCATCATCTATCAAAATATTTTTCCAGTAACACTACCAATGATATTTTTACATTTGATGCCATGTGTGAATATGCTATTCCAATTACTAATCAAGTAAGTCTGATAAAACCTAATTATCAAAATCATACCTCCTTCCTTTACAATTCATACAATGTTATTATTATTATTATTATTATTATTATTATTCTTTTAGACTTTCAATTTAGAAATTACTGTATCATCTGGTGGTCTTGAAGAACTTTTAATTGGTGATAAGACTAGAGAACTTGTGGTTAAAGAAGGAGAATCAACGATTATTGACTTAAATACTACTGCCATTTTAACATTTTTAGTAAATAGCATTGGCATTAGATCGCCAACTATCAAAATTGAACTCACAAATGAACCTAAGCATGGTAATGTGTGCCTTGATGATGATTGTGATCGACGAACATTTTCCCAGGGTCATATGCGACGTAATCAAGTCAGATATGTACATGATCATTCAGATACCTTATCTGATAGTTTAGAATTTTCCGTTTACTTGGACATTGATCCTACTGCTGTCCCTTTATGTAATGTCACCATTCCAGTAAGCATCATACCTGTAAACGACCAACCATTCTTTTTAACTCAGTCATATCCAAATTTAAGACTTGTTCAAGGACAATCTGTAACATTGACTAGATCAGAACTGTTGACTGAAGATCCAGATACACCACCTGAACAAATTGTTTATGACATTGTAACTGGACCTGCCTACGGTACTATCTGTTTGGCTGGTATTAAAAATTCTGTTAGATTCACTCAAGCTGATATTGATGCTGGCGAAGTAGTTTACAAACACGATGGTCAGTTGAATCCTACTACATTTTATTTTCGAGTATGGGATGGTCAGTTTAATCCAGTCTATAAAGTCTTTCAAATATATGTCATACCTGTTACTCTGAATGTAACTGTGTCATTACCTTTGCCATTACTTCAAGGAACATATGAAACTGTAGTGAATGAAAAATTATTCCAAGTCGAGACAAATGGAGACAAGGATTCTGTTGCTTACAATATCTCAATGAATCCTAGGCATGGAATTGTCTATGTAAATGGAACAAAATCTAAATTATTTTCTCACAAAGATTTAAAAGATGGTAGAGTAATTTATAGACAGACGGATTTGACCTCTGCAGCAGATGCATTACGATTATCTGCTCAAATGCATTGTGAACAATCTCCTATAATTAAAGATTTGTGGTTAAATATCAGTGTTGAACCTTTGGTGAAAACTGGAGCGTTTTATCCTCTAACAGGATTAAAATCACAACTTGGTGTCCAAGTTTTGAATGCTGAAATATTAGCAAAAACCACAAGTTCTGATCCAAAATACAAAATTTTAAGAAAACCAAAGTTTGGAAAATTGAAAAAAATTGTTAGGCGGTCAGGAGACAAACAAGTAATTCGTGAAGTTGATGTTACAAAATTTTCACATGGAGAAATAGCAAGTGGAATAGTGTATTTTGTGGCAAAAAAAGTACTAGAACCAGTAGAAGACAGTTTTCCATTTTTATTAACAGCAAATGGTGTTCAACCAGCGATTGGTGAATTGCGATTTCATGTATCTGTGGCTGAGCCACCTTCTACTACAACACCACATTTGCCTACTACCACATTTAAGTATTCCTTAACCTCTGTCAGCAAAAAACCAGATATTGTAGAAATAGCGAGACCAAATATGAGTGATGACTATTTGTTATGTGTTGGGTTCATTATGGCTGTAGTGGTAGCGTCCCTTGTCATTGTTGTTCTTATAAGGTGTAGATCCAAGAAACGCGCAGAAGAGTTGGATAAAATGAATCCCATGCCTTTACCTTGCCCTCCTGATGATTTAATGACCACGTCTCCTAGAATGGACAAAAATGAAAATCACGGATGTAAAGTAATAGCTTTGGGTCCACCAGAACATACTGAACCAGAGACTGATTTTAATATGAGATATCCATATGGTGCTGCTGATGAAGAATACAGTAGCAGTGCTGATGGTACAGAACAAAATAATCCAATGCTTAGAAGAAATCAATATTGGGTTTGACGTAAGTAGTTAATAGTATCAAACTATTATTTATTAAGTTAAATAAATTTAAATATATAAATAATACATTTTTTAAACTATTATTATTAATTTGTATAATTATAAACTTAAATTAATTGTATAATTTTTTTTTTTTTTTTCATCTTGATTAGAGTATTTAAAATCTAGTCTATAATATAATGATAACCCACATTTCTTAATGTTGTATTGCAAGTTAATCTTATTACTAAATCTTTTTACTTCCATAACAGCTAATTATTTTAACTATAAGTGACATTATTTTAAGGGCATGTAACACATTAAATTAAGCTTATGTTAATAAATTATGTACTTAAATACAAAAAAAAAGGTGAGGGTAAGGTATTGAACAAATTAGAACAAATCGAGATGGAATTAATACCTGTAATTTATAATCCAACTTTTATATTATTTGATATTTATTAATCAATATTTTTACTTTTAAAACATCTCATGTTTGAATACCTTTATAACATAATTGATCACATAATTGACTGATTGTTTTAATAAAATAATTAGTTATTAGTTGTTTGATTTGACTAGAAAAAAAACAAAAACGTGTTTTAGTATTAATCGGTTTATTATTGTACTTAAAGAATGGTAACAAGAGATAAAATCATGTTATTGACAATTTTTTTTTCCATTTATGTAATACTGATTATTTTATACATTTGTGTTTCTTAAATTTTTCATATCCAGTCACTGAATTTGTATTTAATATAATTTGCAAACGCAGGACATTTTTACTATAAGAATTTATCATACCTCTATATTGTTTGTTCCCTTGCAATGTGCTACACTAAACTACGAGCCAAGAAATTATTCCGAAAAGTATTTAGGTTACCTATATTATAGTTATACACTTGAAGTGTATCAACTTTCTGCCATTAAGTAATATTAAACACATTTATTAAATCTCGAGCGCGTGTCCTAAAATGTAATTATACTATAGTTTACCAATTATATGATATGTCTCAAAGCTCAATTGATTATATCTTAGTTTTCTTATTGTATATACTATTTTTAGACTAATAAAAATAAAAGTAATAAACGTAAATATTTCAAGTTTTAAGTGATTTTTAACTGTCATAATTATGTGACGTTTACCTACACTCTAATGTGAAAAGTGCCCAAAAAATCCGGTGCTCTAAGTATAACATGTTCAAATTCCATGAAAGACAATTTGCCGTCGCCGTCTACGTCTGCTTCTTCAATAACTTTTTCGCATACCTGAACAATCTCTTCAGCCGACAGTTGGCTGCGTGTCAACAGCTTTAACACTTGTTCAAGATCAGCAGGTCCAATGTGATGGTCATCGTCGAAATCTATACAATCACCACCGTTAAACATAACAATATGTGCTACAAAAAACTTCGAATCGTTTACAAATTGTAATTAGGTAGGTATATTAGATTTAAATATTGGTAAAAGTCCAAAAAAAACTTTTGCGGTAGCGCATCAATGGACCAAATGTTGTATATGTAGGTATGAATCGTACCTATTGGCTATTTATAATATAAATCGTATACATATATTGTGACACCATGTTGGAATCCTTAACTTGAAAACGTATAATTTCGATGATTTATAACATTTTTACAAAACAAATTATTTTTTTTTATTTTCATAGTGATACTTTTTAGGGTTTTCTCTATTTTCAAATGATAACTATATAATTTAAATTTGATTCTTCTTCGATCTTCGGTGAACACATTTTGAAGATGTTAGTGTATAAATATTGGATATTTCCGAATGAATAAATTTTTATAAAATTTAAACATAAGTTTTCATGAGGAAGCAGAATAAACAATAGTGTACTTAATATTAGTAGGTATACTATCATCAGTATAATATCTACAGAACGTATATTCTATGTTTAAAGTACTTGTAAGTTATACCTATTTAAAACACAATTCAGTTTATTGTAACGTATATTCATTAACAATTTTAGAATAATGCAGGTAATAATGTAAGTAGGTACTAGGTAGCTTCCGTAAAAATTAGAAATTCTTAGTCTAGCTGTCAAAAGTATACCGTAAGTATGATTATATCAACATCGAATATTAATAGTTGTCAACTTACCATAAATCTTAAAAGCATAGTACACTTTGATTTGTCTTGGAGCCTGTTCGCTAAACACTGACAACAAGTCTAAAAAATCTTCAAAACTCAATGATCCATTACCTTCTTTCGAGAATACTTGGCATATGCGTTGTTTAAAAGGGTTTTCCTGCAATAAAAACCAATTTTGTAGCACAATTAGTACAAAAATCGTATATGCCACACGGTATCATCAATAAAATTATGTATAGAATAAGAAATAAGAATTAGGCCTAACTATAGTCATCGCTAATCAAGCACAGGATCTAGCCAAGTCCACCAGGTCTTATTTTTTACCTAATTTTTACTTGCAGTGGCGTCATTTGGGGATAAGCAGTATAGACATTTGTCTCTCCCTTATTGATAACAGATCAGTGTCAGACTATTTATGGACCTCAAACATGATTTGAGGTAATAACCTATATCTTAAGATAGTTAATAAAATTATAGCGTATATTTCTGAATACATTATACTTCAGACTAAAACCAACATAACTATAAAAAGACAATTTTTTTCAAAAATAATAAAATCATATATTTTAAATATTAACATTTATATAACAATACTTACATAATGTGTCATTGTTATATAATATCTTACGTTATATTTTTCTTATACAATTTTAAAGGACGACGCTAAATTTTAATTGTAAATTTAATACTTTTGTAAGGAGGCCCTAATTATTTGGTCCCTGGACCCTTGATTTTTCTCCACGGACCTATATTTAATGTATCATAATCGTTGCTCACCTTTTTACTTAATTGATTTATACGCTGATTTTTATATGACTATTATGACACTATTTTATCATTACAGCAGCATTATATGGCATAATTATTATCGGGCTGGGAATAAAATCGTCTTAAAGCAGTGGTTCTCAATCTTTTTAGGACCGTGACCCCCCAAAATTTGACATGCGACCCACAGTTTTAAAAACGCTGCCTTAAAGTTTTAAACAATAGACTTAAAATGCATTAAAAAATTATGGTTACGATAAAAAAATAAATAGATTTATTAAATATTTAAAATTGAATATCATACATTATGCGTTAGCAAATATATTTTTAAATTATATTTATTATAACAATATGAGCTTTGGTTCATACAACGAAAACGTCATGGATAGGTGGATTCTTAACCCTGCGTGATAGGAATGATAGGTTCACAAATTAGATAAAGGTGTTGCTGCAGCAGTGAAATTAATAAACACATTTTTTAAAACTGAAAAAAAAATAAGAAAGTAAATAACTACGAAATATGCATTAAAGATAGTTATATTTTAAATGTAAACAATGTAAAAATAACGTATTTTTCCTTCCTATAGTAATTAATAAAGACGAGCACATTTATTTAGCAAAATGATTTCAATAGGTAATAACTAGTGGGTACCTCATTAATCAAAACATATCTTTAAAAATAAAATATAATATGAAAAAATATATCTTAGAGTACCTTGAGTTCTGGCAACTGTTCGATTCGTTCCTGTGGCACTCGTATTTTCACTGGTTCGTCCCCAGTCATTTTCTTAGGCACCACTTCAGGACAAATTGCTCTATACCTTTTGTACACTCTTTAAAAACAAAATGGAACTAAATAAAATGTGTTAAGCCAATTAAATTTTTTTTTATTTCACAAAAACCCACGTTTTAGCAATGCGTGTGTACTTACAAATTTACAAAACCACAATAGTGGAGTTAACGCTACAAAATATTTATTTAGATTCCTACTCCGAGCGGAGCGATGAATATGTTAATATATCAATTCGATTTATAGTAATATAATAGCGTAAAAATAAAATTTAATAAAGTGAAGCCAAATTTGAGCCTTGAAAGGGACTAGATCTTGAATAATAAGGCCAGGTCTGACGAATTCTTTCCTACATTTATAAGTGCTGGAGCCTAGAAAATATAATCACTTATCAGATACAAAAATTAAATTTACGCTATTACCGTTCTACTTATCTTCGGACCTAACCCGGAGGGTTCTCAAGGTCGTGTATTCGAAAACTTGATTAAGTAGGCAGTAATATAAAATTTATAAATAAACTATGATAATAATAAATAGATTATGCAATCACGCCCCTTACCTGATTCGTAGCTATACATATTTTATGCTTAGGTTTAATGATTTAACACCAATTAAAAAAAACTCTAGACACGCAAATCCAAAAAAACACAAAACTTATGGGGAGGGGGGACTAATAATCATGTATTAATAATTACTAGTCAGTAGTCAATATTGTACGATTAGGTACTGCTGTAATTGTAATTTATAGTATCTACCTACTTATTGAAAGTTAACTATATAGACACGGTTTTTAATTATAAACATTTAAGGTTCAAAATAAATTTGTTGAAAAAACGAAAGCTTGCAAATTATTATTTTTAAGCTAGAAATGTATAAAATCTTTAACTTTTGATGAGGGTTGTAAATTTAACACAGAATTTTTCTTTAATAGTTCATATTGTAATCAAAAAAATTTAATAATATATACAAGCACAATTTTTTATAGACATTTAAAGTTTAAATTTAAGCTATTTAACATTTAAACGATATATAACGATCTTAATTGTTTTCTTATAACTCAGAAAAAATTATTAATTCTTAAAATTGTACGAAGGTATAGGTATACTAAGAATTTTACTCTATACACGCTATTATATTTTCAAATGCAATATTTTGGCAAAAATTAATTCAACCTATCATTAATAAAGCACCAGTATAATAAAATAAAGTCAATTAAAATAGAGAATTTTAATAGGTAGCAACATCATAAAACATATCATGAAATATACTAAGTAATATAGACTAACAGACGGCTGTCTCCGCTCACTACTCAGGATCGTTCTTCTAAATAAATAATATTATTAAAAATCATTAAATTCAAATTTAACACACTTGTTACAATGACCTATTCGATATTCACTACACAACGGAGTGATACCCACTTGCCCATCTTTAATCTTATATATATACAAAAATATATATATTATATATGTATAGTAGGTACCCATATTTATTATACCTAAGGAATTTTTTGTATTATGCTAAGTGTTATCGCCAACCAGTACCTACTAGAAATTAAATTTTAATAAAAAATGCTCACGTATTATTTTTTTTGTAAATTTATGAAAAAATGCTTATAATTCATTGTTAGTCTTTGTTGTTTTCACGAACCTTGTACAAATTTTATATTATGAAACAGAAGAAAAAGCAAAAAATCTTTTAAATATATATATAATAACAAAATCTAAAGTATGAAGATTTCATAAACAAATTACCAACTACATTTTAGTTTTCATTTAAAATGTTTAAACGAGAATAATTAGTATACATCATTGACCACTACGGTTATGAGTGTTATGACCAACCTCAAATTTACTAACTTGAATCAATGTAAACAAATCATTTCAAAAATTTAAATAGGCTAAAAAATGTTTGTATTGACATTAGTATCAAACTGCTTTAAACAATAAAAATGTTTTCTTATTTAAGGAATCCTTTAAATCTACCTGGGCTTCTATATGACCCATGTCCAAATACAAACTTTAAAAATATTGAACTGCCTTTTAGTACAGATAAAATAAAAAATCAAGATATTTTTGGCTTATATAGTTCCATAAAATCTAAACCTGCATTTTCATTCTACTTCTTTTAATCGAAATTTAATGATAATTGAGTCCTGATTTGTATAAGTACTTAATAGCTATTATAAACAACTACTTACAAGTTGCAGTAGAAATTTGTTTAACCGTCACTCTCTGTTATCCATCATCGGTAACTGTCGAAAAAATAATAGTTAATGATACGATCACGATAAACTCATCGCAGTTAGGTTATAGGTTAGGTTCAGAAAAAGTTTAATCGAATGTGTGCTGTCATCTGAAAATGCTATAGGTATTAAAGAATTTTGGAAAAAATACAACATAAAAGATGCTATTTTCAATGTTGGCGCAGTGTATGTGCTGATCTGACTGAACCGAACTTGAAGAATAGGTGAAATAAACTATGGTCTGAAATAATACCATAAAAATCTGAAGAAACTAAGACTGTTAGTGTAGAAGAAATTATACAAATTTGTAATGGACTAAACAGTGAAATATTTTCAACAAAAGAAATAGAAGATTAATTAGAAAGTGATTAACAGGATGGAGAATTTGAAATTTTGAATAATGAACAATTTATTTTTAATGTCACTGCCATTGAAGAAGAAATTTGCATTAGAAAATTCAATGCTTGATTTAAAGCCACCAACTAGCCTCTCAGAAGCAGAAGTGATGTTATCAAAATGCATTGATTGGTTTAAAATGCAAGAGGAAGCAAATGTAACGTAGATCTTACTTTTTCGAAACACTCGAAAAGCTCATGCCTAAAAAAAAAAAGATATGACGGATTATTTTGTTTCGTATTTTTGAGTATGGTATTATTCTTGTTATTACATATCATACATTATTAGTATTTATTATTTATTACATATTAACTGTATCAGCAAATCACGTTGTAAAATATATACGTTAATTGAAAAATTTCTGAAATGAAAAATAATTAACATAATTATGCGTATGTAGTGGCGCTAAATCTATACACGTAATGAACTTTTTATTATTGCTTCATAATATTTATAGTAAAGGGCGGATCGCGTTTAGATTAGTTAGTAAAAATTACTATGCGTTTGAGTCACGATATATACATTAATACATTGCAGTTTTAGCAAATGATTTCAAAACATTGTAAAATGTAAAGTAATGGTGTGATATATATTTTTTAATATGCTGTAATGCGATTGACAACAATGTGTTTCCAAATAGTTTAGGACATTATACGTATATTAATAAATACATATTTTTAAATCTTAATTTATTTTAACATTTATTTTTCGTAAGCAATTTAATTATTTTCTTATCTGTTTAATATCTTAAAAATATAAATAAATATAATAATTTGTGTACAGGTTATGCGTTTATAATATATAGTATAGTATATCTATAACATTTAAATGAGTAGTGATTTAATATTTTCTAAATGTCTGCCTAAATGATTTACTTAATTACAATTCATTATTTTTTTATTAATTATATAATAAATATATCATACTTTTTATTATGTTATGTGTGCTGCAGAGGCCAAGGTATACATAATCACGTAGGTATACTAGGGCTCAACATTTTATATTGCGTTATAATTAAAGACCGGATTTTGCATAAAATGCATGTTGTTATTTTCAACATCATATACATGCAGTCAATGAGTGTCCACAAATCATTACTTGATTGATTAAATATCAAAATTTTATACTGCATATTTTTGCATATTCTGACGTTAATGCATGATCTGCATATTTTTGCATATTTTAACAAAAACCGTACAAATATACAAATAAAAACATAGATTATAGGTACGTTTATATAATATTATAATATCAAATATTTTACGTCTCAAAGAATATCTCAAAGGCTCCGTATAAAATTCAATTATATAAAGAAATGTTGCCAATTACACATTTACTACCGCAGCCAATAATTATCCGTTGGGGTACTTGGCTAGAGTCAGCCTTTTTTTACGCAGATCATTTTGAAGAGTTCAAAAATGTGATTGAAAACTTAGAAGATAATACAAAATGCATTCAAAATTGTAAATCAATTTTTAATAAATTTAATGTAAAATATGATCTTGCTTACATTAAAGCAAATTTTTTATGTATCGTTGAAAGTATCAAAAAGCTTGAAACCTCTAATTTGTCCCTTGTAGACTCAATAAAAATTTTAGAACAAGTGGAAAACTCTGTTAATGAACTTCCTACTAGTGCAAATAGTACAATAATTAAAACAAAATGTAAAAACGTTTTGAATAAAAATAAAGGATTAATGGTTTTAAAAGAAATTTCAAAAATACTTCAAGGTGACAGTGCTAATTTCGACGATTTATCTGTTCCAAATTATTCGCTGGATATAATAGCAAATTTTAAATATGCTCCAATCACCAGTGTTGATGTCGAACGTAGTTTTTCATCATACAAGTACATTCTTACAGATCGCCGTCATAATTTCACGGAAATAAACATGGAACATACTTTGATAACTTATTGTTTTTCAAATTAATAATTTACTACCTTCAATAAAATTGTTCGTACTTTTTTCCTATTTATATCAGTATATAACCAATGTATCTACTATTTAATTTTAATAAAATATTTTTTACAATATATCAATGTTTAAAAATTAAATTACAATTTAACAAAAAATTAAATTTTTGTACTATATTATACATGTAACTTTTTGTTTATGAAAAATGTAATAAAATTAATAAATAATTATCACTGCAAAATTAAAATCTAATATAAAATTGAAATTTTATTTTGCATGTTTTGCATTTTTTCCTTGCATATTTTGACTTTTTTTAGTGCATGTTTGCATGCATATTTTACAATTTAAAATGCATATAAATCCGGTCTTTAGTTATAATGGTTAAAAATATTATTACAAGTTTTTTTTACTTGTTAAATTTCCTGAGTCTATCTTTTTACATTTTAATGTCTAACACAATTATTATATTATTTTGATTTCATCCATTTCGTTACCTATTATTATTGTAGGTATATAATTTTAAGAGGTAAAAATGAAACGTATTTACGTATACAACGCTGCAGAGATAAGTGACCGTAAAAAAATCAAACTTTCCCAACATAAAGATGACAATATTATCTGTGTTTATATGTTGGATATAAATATATAATAGATAAGTCAACTAGGTCAGTTTACATATACATTACAAATTATGAAAAACTAAATACTTAAACGGCTAATAAAATTGAGTGTATTATTGTCATCTTTGTGTTTGCAAAGTTTGATAATAATCTTATACGATTATTGTAACACAAATGAGAGTTATTCTGGCAAAACATATTTTAAACAGAAAAAATGGGTGTGTTACGTACTCTCAAAGTATAAGAAATATTATTTTTGAAATCTATAAATGAAAACATCATACTTTTATTGTCAAAGCTATTCAATTATTCTAATGAAAAAAAATATATTGTGTTTAATTAATGCATTATTCAACTAGGTGAAGCAGTAGACTGTAATCTACCCCAAGTTTCTTTTTTTTTGTGTGAGCGGAAAAAAGACAATGTATAATGTATATTTCATACTCAGGTATCGACGTATCGTGTAATCATAGTTAAAGGTAGGAATATAAACGTAAGGTGATCAAATATACATATTGGGAGCTATATAACCTCGTCATAAATGTGTAATATAATATGATAAGTTCCCGATTTTAATAATTGAACATTCTTTCCTAAACATGCCTAAGCTCATAATTACTAAATATCTATCTAGTTTTGTCTAGATCCACTTCTGGAAATAGAGCGCAAGTTTAATCGTTTAATATTTATTAGTGCTTTCGATGAAAAAATGCGAATTAACTCCAAGTACTATGTGCGTTATATATTTCATTAAAAATTATAATGTAGGTAAACATAATACAGAGTACAGACACAATATATATTATACATTATACAGATCATTTTTACTTTTTAATTATATATTAAAAACAAAAACACATACATAAATTGAAGTAAATAATAACATGAACTCTATATATCTAAAGCCTTTAAAAATATATATATTTATAACCGGTTTTAATTAATCAGAATATTTATGAACGCATTTAACCGGTTATTTAAACTAAAAAAAAAAAAAAAACCATTAAAAAAATCGTTCAGGTTCAAATCCTGCCTACAGTAACACTATGTTTGAAAAGAAAACAATTTTTCTTTCTTTTCGTAAAATCAGTAAGCTTCTTACGAAAAGAATTTGTTCAATCGTTTTACAACAGTTTCAAAAAGAATTTGTGTAGACATATTATAGTAGAAGATTATAATAATATTAAATATTATGTCTCTTATTGCCTATTGGCGTTTGTCTATAATTAAACAATTAGGCAATACTTAATATAAATAATAAGTAATAACCAATGAATGTAATTTATAAGACAAAAATTAATCATGTACTGCAGTAGTACAGTACTATTAGTGTTCTTAGTTTTATTTTTATATTAACCACGGTGCTTAACAATAACACGAATAAAATAATGTTATTGCTATATTTATTGATTTAAAAACAACGTTTTCACCTTTCCTCTGATGATTTTAACAAATACTATTTACATATGCAATATGTTATACAAGTATAAATATTTAAAAGTAACAGTTATATTATTGAATCATTAAAGAAATTATGATGAAATACAATTCACAAATGTTCAATTTTTTTTAAAATCCTCTTCAACTTAAAATAAACACGTGTGGTAGTAAAAAAAATACTACACACACATACACAAAATGAGGTACATATAACGCAAATAATGATACACGTCATCTCCTGTTTGCACACATGTGCACAGGAGCTGCTGTGACTACCGCTATATTACTCACCTAAGTATTTCCTTCCTGGTAAAAAATGTGCAGTCCTGTAAACGGAAGAAAAAAATAATAAACACACATTGTGGTTTCCGGGTTTAGCTATATAATATACGATGGAATGGTAGAAGTCGCAGGCCCTTGCGGCTCCGCAAAAGAATTTTTTTTTCAAACTAAAAAATGATTACGTTGATGTCGTGTGTCGTGAGTGTTAACTCTCACCTATACACACACACACACACACAAACGCGCGCACAGCAATGAATGATACGACGACCGAATTACGAGAATAAAAATATGACAAATACATTCGATTTTAGTCTCTCCGTGACCCGTGTTACAGACAAATATAAATTGTATTAATATATTATTGCTTAGGTTTTTTGTGTTTTTTCGGCACAAACCACTATTAATTGACCCAACCCACTCGGCATCTCCGTATAGACAGTCATGTATTATTTATACACCGAATGGCCATTTACATTGATAATAATCATATTACACAGGTATTATCTTTTGTTTGTTTGACCTTCAAACTCAAAACAAAATTACTGTTCATAGTGCACCCGGTCCCTCAAAAATTTAAGTGGCACTAAATCACGTGACATCGGACATGTGTTGTCCGTCGTGATTTTAATCGAACGACAACGGACAAATGTACAATATGATTCTTATTGGTATTCTTAAATTTTGACAAAATTATACACATTATTGATTATTTATTTTATTATATATTCTGGATGTTTCAATAACAATCATTTAGAAATTATTTGCTCAATACTTTTGTTTGTATGATAGGCGATAGCTAAATAGTCAATTTCAAGTCAATCCTAAAGTGACAACGGCAAATATTATTTGATGATAGGTATTTATCAACTATCAGACATATTATATTCTGAGGGTGGGGTAGAACCACAAGACTGTAGAGTAATTAATGCATTCTACCGAGTATAAATCCACGGTTTTTTTTTTTTTTATTACGTCGTTCGTGATTTTCAATGTATACTATATTACCGTATTACCATACGTATAATGTTATACAGAACCCGGTGAAATATGAAAACAAAATAAAAACTGTCAGGGGTCAGCGAACAGGTGGTTGTGTGGGAGTGTAGACAGGGAAGGATGCGTATTGGACGAGCGGCATAATGAAAATATATGCCAATACATTGTCATTGAGCGGAATATACCTACCGATTCGGACAGGCGTCGATTGCGTACTCACTCGAGTAGATAATCACCGAACACACGAGTGATGACGAGCGATTGGCGTTGTAATTATTAAATATTAATTGATCACGACAATGACAGCGTTCGAATTGTTTTCCGTCATGACAAATATTTCGTAATTTAAATATAATATAATTTGGCACGTCATCGATCAAAACGTCTTGTCGGTTAATATACACACAAAATCTAGCAAAGTTTCAACTGAATATCCGACGTTTTGTAAAACCTAACAGTTAAGGGACGCTACCCTCACATGTCTTACTAACATACAACGTAACAAATTTGTTTTCAATAGAACTAGTTGTGTGTCATAAGCTTTAATATTAGTGTGAATTGATCGATTATCAAAGTTAAAGGTAAGAACATTACCTGTAAGATGTGAGCATTGTATATATTACAAATTAAAAATGCCCATTTCTAGCTTAAAAATTAAAATATCGAAATAAGCATTAAACACAGATTGAACTATAAAGTCCCATTTGATGTCACATCGAACAATTTCTATTACATTACTGCAACCATTATTAAAATATATCCTTTGCATTACGAACAAACATGGATTGCCGGTCGATGTTTCGTCCACCTTGCTACCATGGCACACGAGTTATAGTATGGTAAGTAGAGGGGAATCAAATAAATAACTAAATTTACACATCCTGTAATATTGGTATAATAATAACCTAAGCGTATATAACGTTTAACGAGTGGTCACAAATATTATGTATGTGTTTTAGTGTTTATATAGATAGATACCGAAATTAAAAGAATGTATTAAATCCAACAACCACGGTGATGTTATATTATCAAATAAATTGAATAGTTTTCTTGGAATATTTTTGGATTTGCTACTAGAAAAAAAATAATTTTAAAAAACTCGCTCTGCACCGCGTGTAATAAACATCTCTTCTCTACGAAAAACTGTCATCCCTCCGTGTAATGCTCATGCAGTTCATCGACTCCAAATCGAAAAAAACCGTTTAATATACATTTATACATTATAATATTACCGTTTTTGTCACGTTCTACATTTAAATAATTTAGTGGTTCTCGGAATGGTCCAGTCTCGAAGAAACTAAGTCTAAAAATAACATAGCCGAAGGAAGATACGTATAACTATAGTTATAGTACATTTATCAACACACACGTTTGATTTTAATCTCGCGTTCACGGTCTCCATTATGGTGTGCGATGCGCGCCCGACATTCGACGTTACCATATTCATGTACTATGTATACAATGTAAAATCATGTATTCTAATGTTTGTCTGACCCACCCGACTATTGGCCGAGGTTTTTTCTTCAAATATGTAGGCCCGACACAAGTCAACAGTACCTTAATGACTCAATAATTTCTTGCTATGATTTTATTTTAGTTTATTTTTATCACTTATATAACCTACTATAGTACTGAATACTGATTATATTAATTATTTATTTGGAATATTGTAATTATTTATACTAATTTCAAAAAACAATAAGTATTGACTCGACGATATTATATTTTAAGATTTGGCAAAGTAATCATACCCGGAATATTTGCACTTGCAATTATTATCCAATACATTTTTGTAAACTCTTGTACCTACTACTTGTAGTATTTGTATTTTCCTAGTTTTGAGTTAAGCTGATATTTGTCAAACACATTATTTTGTAAAGTATTCGAAAAATACCTACCCAACATTGCCAACTAAGCCTATGTCTTTAATTATTTATATACCTAATTCAGAGGTTCTCAAACATGTTTACTCTAGTCCTCATCATGAAACCCGTATATTTGGTTATAATTACTAATAATTACGTCTTCTTAATTTGTATTGTAGGCATCTAATACTACTTTTAAACTTATATTAATTATTGTTTAAAATATTTATATCAATTTATCGCGTTTTAAAACGAGTAATTTTATTAGTACACGACAAATACGAATAATTAATTTTACCAGCGTGCAATATTTTAATATATTAACTACACCTTTTTTTTTTTTATGTCTACCGACTACGATCTTATGATTGCCGCTGAATATATATTAACCTGAATCCTGAATCCTATGCTATATCGTCTGCTGCAGAAACGTATGATGAAAACTATAGGCAGCCGATTCTTTCTCTCATCCAATAGGTTAATTTTTTTTCTTTCTAGGTACAAATAATAAACTATCATAAATATCTTGAACCGTAATTGGAATATTATAACTTACCTTTAAAAATACAATAAATATTGACTATACATCGAGTAAGCACAGATATCTGCCCCTCCTAGTGAGTAAGGTCTGATGCGCTAAGATGAAAACGTAATATTACAGCAATATATTCCGGTACAATTACGGCCCACTTAAACCCCTTCGAAACTGTATCCGGTTATGTAATTGGGGATGGCGGGGTACATGACCTGCTCGTCGCACTCACTCGTTACATAATACATGAAGATATATATATATATATACTATACATACAATTAAGTCGATGAAACGGGGCAAGACTGTAAGAGTAGCGTACCACGACGAAAACAAAACACACAGGCACGGAGGAAAAAACCTGAAAACCCAATCGACTGTCATATCGGCCGAATGTGTGCGTAAGACCGTACAGCGCCGACAAGGAATAATCATATAAAAGCCGTTATTTATCAGTCACCTGGTAGTCTTCGAGCTGCGATTCGGTGAAAGTCATCGCCTTATTACCCATAACGTCGCTGCCGCCGCCCGTGGTGGACTACACGTCGTGTGGTAAGGAATCTGCGCTGCTGCAAGAACGGAGAAGATAACCATGCACCAACCAGCGCAAGTTTTAGATCGAGAGAACAAATATAATAATTTGTTAGAAATATTAATGTTGGTATGGAAGAGCGAGAGCCGGACCGACGCTGGTGTACTGTAAAAAACAAACGAGTATCCGAACGGGCTTGACGATAATAACAGCAAACTCCTTCGAAAGCGGTAGGGGCACCCCTTTACTGCATAGACTGAAGAGTGAAGTCACGCGACGGACAGCCTTTTTAATACTTTTGATTTTTCAACAACTGGGCGGAATGTGCGCGACGAACACACACACGCAAGGAAAAATGTAATTTTCGATGTTATGGGTGTGGTGACCAGTGACCACCAACTGTCTAGGCCCGTTCTTTAGACCATTTTCACTCAACGAGATTAAAAAATAAATCGTCAAAATTTAGTCACCTATTACTCGTATGAAAAATAAAAAGGGAAAAATTATAAAACACATAATATGATAATATAACCTATATTTTTTGGCAATCAATATACAAATGATAAACAAAAGGAAAAACAAAAAAAAAAAAATAAAATAAAAATAAATCTAAAATAAAATAATAAAAACGGCCTGTAAACATGATTTTTTTGATTATAACTTAAAAATTTGTACACAGTATAAATTATTTTATTGCACTTTCGGCCTTGCCATTTTTATAAAGTACTTTATGTTAATGTTAGCAGAAAAAAAAGAACAAACAAACAATACTAAAATAATGCTGGGGTACACAAATGTTGGTCAAACTAAAAAATAAAAACCATTGTGCACTGTTTGATTTATACTTAAAAATGAAAAAAAAAATATATAACAAAATGAGTAATTTTATTTCTATTTATATATATAAATAAATATATATATATTATATATATTAACAAACGCTCTAATATGTTAAATTTACAATCAGTACATAATATGAATATACAACAAGTGTTAAGAAATAACGAGAAAAATAATGTGTTGAAAAACTAGAAAGAATAAAATAATATTCGGTTGAACCCTTTAAATAATTTTAATTTTGTTTGTAAACTTTTCATAAACGAACCCTGTATTATGTTACAATGGTCAAAAATATAAAATAAGTAAGCTCTCAAATAGAATTTCAATGAAAATGTCTGCCCTGTGGTCATCATTGTTACGTTTTATACATATTAATCATATATTTATATAGAAAATTGAGCCTACTAGTGTGTTGCGAGAACAGTACCTACTATTATTTATAACAAAACAATTAAACTAAAATCAGGTAAAACATAGTGCTGACTAAAATATTTAAATGGCACCAAAAAGTTTACACATAGCACCGCTTACATACTAAACATAATAATTTCTTTAAACATTTTCACATTTTTTTTCTTTTTACAAAAATATCAACTAACTTTATAAATGGTATACACTTTTGTTAATAATTTTGATTGAAAATAATGGCCATGAAATTGCACTTAAAAATATAACTTTAACATATTATTATCATACACAATTATTAGGTATCAAAATCTTATACAAAACAAAAACCTAATATTTTTAAAGAAATATCTCAATACATGTACTTAAAAAGGAGTTGATTATTATAATATATATATATATTGTATAGTTTTTATATCTACTATATATATGATAACACAACAATAATGTACATACAATTTGCATAATTTTAATTTTAATTTACTCTCAAATGTTATTTAACAAACAAAACAACTAATTTAAAATATGTTAGTGTAATTTAACAACAATATAATATTTACTTAGTCTATCAATGAATTTTGGCCGATATAATCAATTTTCGTCTTATTGTTTTATTGACTAGTAAATGTAGCCTACATTCTATTGTAACAGGACTAGACATTAACGTTTTGTAATATGTATTTGGATCAACATATTATCATATCTGACAAAATAGAAGTAATAAATACAAATTTATTTACAAATGTTAAGAACATAGTCGAGATATGTTATGGAATTAACAATGAAAAATGGATAAAAAGAAAAGAAATTTTCAAAAATAATTTAGTTACTTAATGTAAGTCATATGTTGTCCTGAATAGAGAGTAGAAGTCATGCGGTCCATAAGTATAAAATAAATAATCTTTATGTTCAAAAAAAATATTTTGGATGAAGTAGCAGTGTGATGTCATCTGTACTTAACAATTTAGTCATGTTGGCCAAGTATCACGCAATCTTTTTGGTTGCGGTCCTCCTTCAAAGTCATGTCTTGAATCTACTAAGCTCTGGTTACTGGGCAACTGTCCGCCTAGTATAAAACGTTCTAGTTTTAAAACAACAAAATAAATGATGAAAATACAATTACATATTATCAAGGGAGATGAAAGTAAATGAAATGTTTACCTGTGACTGACAAGTGATGGGACGGTATTGAAGTGTGAGCATGTGGTAAAGATAAATGACTGATAGAATGTGAAACAACAGTGTTAGGTGCTGTTCCAGAGGTTGCTGAAGACGTATGGTGATGTAAATGTGGTGGTGAATTAGGCTCGCTTTTAATGCGGACGGAATTTGGTGATGGTGAAGAAGGTGGTGATGAGTTTGGTACTCCTAAGTGAGACATTCCACTAGAACATACAGTTTTTTTTTATATATACATAATGCGATCAAATTATATTAAAAAATAAAAACAAACCTGTTGTGTGCTAGTTGATTTGACCAATTCAATGCTGATGAAAGACCCATGTCAGTAGATGTAAGATCAGTAAAAATACCATGATACGAGCCACCCAATCCAGGTGTATGGAGTGCTACAACTGGTGTGTTTAGAGAGACAGATGGTGTGTTAATGGAGTTTGCCTAAAATATGAAAATAATTTATTGTTTTATTTAATAAATTTCAAAAACACAAATTATAAAAAATAATAAATACATTGTTATCTTCATGATGACTAGGAGGAGCATTGGGCATGACTATACGTAAATTGGGTCTAGGTGAATGATGTCTAGGTGGTGGAGTAGCTCTATTAGAAGCATTTAAGGCTTTGGGCGTAGGTGATGGTGACATGACTAGTTGTCCCGGAGAAGAAGGTGAATTGACTAGTGCAGGCGATGAAGATGCTTGGTATCCATTACTCATTTCCAACATACTACCAGGAGGATAAACTAGAAAAAAAAATACAATAAATAATAATTTTGATTCGTTATCACATATAAAATGACTAACCAGAATCAGCATCAGACGACGATGGAGGCCTTGGGCTAGCGTTGTGTTGCAGTTGTAAATTTCCAGAATCATTATACATGTTGTTTACAGGCATAGTAGTTGGAAGTGAATAATTAGCACTTACATTATTCTAAAAAGTTATTGAAATTATGTACATAGATTTCATGGTTTTTTGCTAGACAAAATAATTACTCTGGCCATTCTTTGATGTTGCATTAATAGCTGGAACTCTTCATCGATTTTACTGTATTTTGCTTCAGTTCTAGGTGTAAGTTGGTATGGTCCTTGTGTATCATCACAACTTCCATCTGGACTCTCGGGGCTCAATGCACCACCTTTAAGTTCTTTTTTGTTCAATTGCTATAAAATTTAAAAAAATGCATAAGATTTAAATAATTAATAATAGTTAATAGTTAATATAATATTATTACTTCAATAATATTTTTATTGGTGAGCGATTCATGAGGTTCGTTGTACTCTGTATATTTGAGCAACACTTTATCCATGTCTGTACTAGCATATTGATATAATTTATTAGAACTGCTGAATATGATTAGAGCAATTTCGCAATCACATAATACACTCAGTTCATATGCTTTTTTCATTACGCCAAATTTTCTCTTGTTAAAGGTAACCTAAATCAAAACATTATAAATTGCTATTATAGTTCGGTGATAATAAATTAAAAAATAAATACCTAATAAATGAAAGCAAAAAAATGTTAATACACTGTATTTGGATGACATTGAATTTATTAACATATTAAAATTAGAAATAAACAAACAAAAATAATAACTAAATAATAGAAACATAAAATAGTTATTTTGTGATAAAAAGTTGCACAAAAATAAAAACATTTGGTCCTATATTACAATTTACAGACAAAAAACAGTAAACTAAGCAAAACCAACACTTGACAAATTACATATAAAACTATGTTGGTATTTAAACACGGTGCAATGTTTATCATAGATATTGTTTTCACTCCAAATTTGTTAAAATAAATTGTAATTATTAGAACGGTAAAAGCTTTTGATGGTTTTGTTGTGGTGCTGAAATAAATGCCATATAAGAAAAATCTTTGGATGTTAAAGAATTTTAATTATCATTGTTATTCACGTCTAAAACACGGCTTATTTTTCTATGCGAGTCCCTTCCCTCCTGCTTAAATTATTGAGTATTATTTCACCATCAATTTAATCGAAACTGAAAAATGTTTATAGTTACCAGCTACTTACATAATCATTATTAGTTAGATACCAATGTATCATTAAACAATCTTAAACGATAAAAAAACAGGGTGCTGGAATCATCATCAGGGGTCGATTCAAACAAAATACATAACATATAATTAACAAAACAATAGTTTCATAAGCTCTTTATTATGAACGATTTTATTGGAAAATATTATGTACATGAATTTTTTAACCAATCGAATTCTGACACTAATTACTACTAATAATGATAATCCAAGTAGTTTCGCTACTAATACTACAACTACTAAATATTATATAATTATACTAATTTCGACCAAATGTCTTTCTTTAGACAGACCAAAAATAAAAGTACGAAGGTAGGTAGGTTCGTAACAATAATGAAATGATTTACCTGACGATTGCGTTCGTCGGTGATACGCGATATTTGTATTTTCTTACGACCCATGTTGTCGGCGGCGGCGTTAGGGTCCGCAGAACGGCGCCGTTCACTGCTTCTTGGAATTCTGTTTGTCTTATCTAAGACGGTCGTATATCTCCACCGAAGGAGACGATGACGACGAGCTCCACAACACTACTCGTTGAAACGATTCTTACACGTTTTCAAATGATATCTGAGAAAATACAAGACGAAAAATTTAAATGGTTGTTTAATAATAATACTACAACGGTTAGCGTGCAAACACAAAATATTATAATAACTAACCGATCGGGCCTTAACAGAAAATAAATAAATAATACAAATTACAAAATATATATTCGCGGTAAAATATAAATAGGCGATTTAAAATCTCACACACAAACCTCTTGGTACGCGGGGGGAGAACACGGTGACGGAGTTGACGATAATGGAATTATATAATATTAACGTACTGTGTATTTTTTTCTGTTTCGAAAAAAAATAACAATATTTATCCACGACCGACAACCACCGAAAACGGGTCTGTCGTCTTCAGTCGCGACGTACGCACCACAATAGATGTGTTACAAAACAGAACACGAGCCACTGCTAGCGCGCGCGCGCACACACGAACACACACGAGACCGCACACTCGTTCGTCGGTTGTGGGCTATTTCTGTAAAGTTTTCCGGGGGGTTTTAACGACCGCGGCGATAAGACGGTTAGTTACTTACGCGACGGGCTCACAATATAATAATAATAATAATAATAATAATATTTTATTATTCCACCGATTATTGTGATGGCGGTAATCAATTGTAAATTATAAATATATATATATTGTATTAGTGTATAATAGCCAGAGTGGTCGCACAATGCACGCGGATCATAAAGTATAATAATAATAATAATAATTATAAGGCGGTTTAACAAAATGAATAGTGACGATATCGGCATACAAAACGAGTGGTGGCTCAGGTATACGCGGCGGCAGCTCGTGCATTGTTTGTCACCCGAAACGCGATTGTGAACGTCGCAACTCAGATATCACACTGTAGGTCGTAGGTACATTTCGAGAAGTTATAATATATTATTAAATCACTGCTGACGAAAAAAATAAAATATCTAAAACAAATTTGACCGATCCGTAAACGTAACTTCATTTCGACGACGATTCGACCTTGGTCGTGACGTGATAACAACATCGCATCAACAGTCATAGTAGACCGCGTACCTATAGTGCGGAGGATGTGCAGTGTGCGCGTAAATTTACGTACACAATGTAATAAACTAATAACACCAATATAATATAGCTAATCACAAGACGTGAGGAATAACATAATTTATTAGGTTCTGGCCTACCACAGTTCAGTTATCAATTGTTGTAAATTAAGTAGGCGGTTAATGTTTTGAAACTCAAATACAACACATTCATTATTTACGAGTCTAAGAGAAACGAAGAGATTTAATTTTTTTTTTAAATTTGAATTAATAATAATTTCTATCAAAAACATATTTCGTTGTACCGATGACGAAATTAAAATTCCCCAAATGCCAACCTACCATACATAAGTCGTTAAATCACGTATAATAAAAATTGAAACGGAAATATACACTGGCGAATAGCATTGCATAATTGTAACACATAATTAAAGTGTATAACTTCGGACAAACGCATAATGTGATGGTATCCCCAAGAGAAGTACAAAGTAAATACTATCTTTAAAAAATAAATACCGTTTTGAAAATATCTATAGACTGGTAACGATAATATTGCACGAGACTGAATCATGCAGCAGTGTAGCACGTGTACCAAATAATATTAACTGTGATAGATTTGTATTTATTTAGCAAACTATATAGGATCGACACATTATTATAATTTAAACTATTAGCATTTACCAATCGAGTTCGTTTTAAATATTAATCGTGGTGACGTGCTTCCATCGATAATCGGTGGATTAAAATGAATAAATCTCCGTTATGTGTCAATATCTATTGTAAATATTATTACTATAAAATTGCAATTATTGATAAAAAAGAAATGCAAATAGGTACTTTCAAAATAACAAATATTAATAAGAAAAACACTGCGTCTATTTCAGATCGAATGGATTATTATTTATATATGTCTTGAGTTAATTATAACTCATAAGCATATTTTTTCCGACGAATATCCGGTCGAAATAAATACACGCCCGCTTTACACAACTCGATATCGTTATACAATAAGTAATAACGGCGATCAGTGGATCGCTGATCACTATTCACTTGCACACGCGCCACACCACGTTCAGGTATGCACACACACGATCAATGTAAAAAATTAATATAAATTTACGTTGATAAAATACGAACACGTGGTGTTTGTTTCACCGGTGCTCTCAGATGACAATCATAATAATTATTATTATCGTCATTGCCTCCCGACATTCAAACGTCCAACAATTATGAACACGAACACACACGTGCATAGTAGTACAAGAAACGTCGGTTGCGAAGAAAAAAAGCAGATTATCTCGCGGTCGAAAAATGTACCGACAAAAAATGCGAGATAAACACATTTCACGCATGTGCGTATATGCATACAGCAACAGGTCGCATAAATTTCACGATATCGACAAAAAACAACGAGTCGCGTACTCACTCTTCTCACTTGCACACCCGCCGATGAATGCTTTTTTTTATTCTCCTCACGCAAGCGAGCAGGCGACACGTAAACATTCCCATCGGTTTCGTCTTTACCGCCACTGTTTGTTCCGTAAACCGGGTGTGCGCGCACGTCTAAGAAATTTATTTCCGAGGATATTGTAATATTATTATTGTTGCATCGAACTGTTTATACGGGAAAAAACTTTGGGTTTAAATATAATAAAAATATAAAAAAAAACCTATGAAAATGAATCCAGACAACGCCACGGTGGCAACTGGTTGTATGTCGTGGGGGTGTGGTAGGGGAAGAGTGCAACAGCGGGTAGTGACGACGGTATGCATTCGTTGGTATGTACGTGTATGACTGTATTTTATGTTTACGGGCATGTTAATAATTATTACACGAAATAGATTAATAATAATAGGTATATTATACTAAATATGACCGTATAGATGTGATTCGGCGACAACGTTTAAACACATAAGAGGCTAGCGATGATTAGTCGAGAAATGGATACGATAAAAGCAGGAAAAAGTTTGACACACATCGCTTTAAATTTTCTTTTAAATCTTCGACGAAACTGAAAGAACTTGTGGCTAGTTAGAAGGATGTACAATAGTTTTCTTTTTAGGTATGTGCGTAAATGTCAAACGCTGTTAACAGTTATTTAATTAAACGTCGTTTTAATATAAATAACGTCTTGTCTAACGAAAGAAAGAAACGACACTCACTCGTCTACTCAGTAACTAACAATTAACCCTAAAAACAAATTTGATTATCGGACATCAGTTATCAGCCGTAACTTTATTTAACAGTGACCTAGGTTGCAATACACACAAACAAGCGCATGTAAATAGAGCGGATAACATACGTTAACCAACACACATAAGCCCACTGCAATTTTTCAATTTTCCGTATGACAGGGAAAACAAGAGTATCGTAAATCGCTTGTCGAGAAACAATTTAAACGAATTATATGCGACTTCGTAACGGGACACCGTCTACGAACGGCACCAATTCAAACACAGGATAAAATGTTGATATCGTTACACAACCCTCTGGGCTCAGATTTTTTACTTATGCTATTTTTATAGAACGTTAACAGTGGTGACGAAGTCTCAAAATAGTAAATGGCTACTACTACAGTACTACATCATGGTATGATACACACCTACAAGGCACTGTAATACTACTTCAGGAAATCGGTCAAATGATATTGTAATTCGAACGACGACGGCGATACCACAATCAAATAAAATCCGGTTTGTTATAAAATTAAACACACTTTTTTCTTTCTACCGAAATCCGGTAAATCCGGATTTTATCAATACCGATTTAGTACATTGAGATCAAAATATCGAATAGAACAACAAAACGTACGGAAATACAAACTTCAGATCGTTTAAACTATAACTGAAACAGTCTATGTCGTAATCGTTCAGAGGGTCAAACATATGTATGAAGTATGAAGCACACAATTATCATTTGAAATTAAGTAAATTTCAAACCTTAAGGATAAAAGAAGAAAACGAAAATTGTTTTTTTTTTTCTATATAACTAGTGTAAAAAATAATTTTGACAACATAAAATTTATAAATGTATACTTGTAAAGCAATGCATTATTTTCAATAATATTGGTGTTAAAGAAAAAACATTGCAACATCGAAAACTTGTTGGAAGTTCATTGTTGACCACTAACGAGTTTATGCATATTGCTCTACATACACGCAAGTTGAAGTAGCAAAATATTTTACCGATGATAGTAAATTTAACATTAATATATGTAGTTATATTTAGAATTTTAAAATTTACCCATATAAATCGTGATATCCAACGATTTTAATATATTCCATTTTGATAATCTATCGATTGACAAAAATAAACGTTACAAATAGACTGAACGAACATATTCTCTAATTGGTTGTTTACCAACAATTATAATTTTTAATTAGTTACGTTTACCTTAGTTGGCTTAGTCAGAAACGTTTATAAAATTAATTACTATGAACAAGATACAATATTACATTCAATAAAACTTCACAGAAAACACAACACCACCAGGATAATAAATTATTATTATTAATAATATTAATATATTATATTTAATCAATTTTGGAAAAATCCTAACGGGAATATAAATTACTACATATTAGTTATTACCTAATACCTACTCACAGTAAGAAAATAACGTGAAATCCAAGTACATAGAGACAGATCTTGTGGCGATACACAAGTGCGTGATGGTAAAGGCACGTAGTTTTATTGTCGTTCAACGGAGGGGTGGTATAAGACGACGTTGACACTATAACGGCGACGGATGAACTCGGTTCAACAAACGTTGGAAATTACGTGGGCCGTAGGCAATTTAATTTGGCACGCGGCCGCCCGCGCAAAGGGGTAGTCGGGTTGAAAGACACGTAGTGTTTGACGCGTGGGCTGCACTTTACAAGAGGGTGGTGGTAGGTGGTGACTCTCGTGTGTAGTATTGGGCTATGAGGAGCAACGGTGTATAATACATACAATACAAATAGTTTTTTTTTCTTTTCGGGATTAGCCCCAAA